GAACAATACCAGTGTCTTGTCCATAACACTACACTAAGTTTTGAAATGTATATCAAAAACAGTTTTCAATCCTTGAGGAAGGTTTTAGTTCATGTACCTAATCATATTTTGTATGAGAGAATTAGCAGCAACTCATCCCAGTCTGGTTTCAAAAGAGAAAACTAAGCAGACAGTCTTGTTAATTTAGTATGTAGACTTGGAATAAAGTACAACATCCATCATCTCATCAAAATTCAATTAAGACTCAGTCCAGCATCCAAGGAAAAGGAGCCAATTTTCTGCTGGAAACAGAGCTCCCTTAACGTCACTTTAAAAAATCCATAATGGATCTTGCATCCTGGGAGTGGAGAGAGAGAGAGGGAGTGTGTGTGTGTGTGTGTGTGTGTGTGTGTGAGAGAGAGAGAGAGAGAGAGAGAGAGAGAGAGAGAGAGAGAGAGAGAGAGAAGAGCAATTTGGGACCTCTAATTACCCTTTACATTAAAAGTTAAAAGGCGTATAGTCTTAAAGCTTGGGCCTTTGTCATTAATTTAATGCATGCTGTCAACACACTTTGTCCAACCCAGTGAGATACAGTATACAGGAAGCCTCTTTAGTTTGGCTTTAAAACAATCTAATTTCTAATGGCTGGGTAGCTGGCTTTGGCACTCACCAAACAATGATTGGGGCTGGTGAAATTATTTATCGGAGCATGGATGTCGGGTACGCTTGCTTCCTGTAGCAGGCAGCTAAGGCTGTCACCCCATTCAGACATTTTTAGTTAATCATCTACTTTTTAACCAATTAATTGATTACATTTGAATACATTTGCATATTGCCAAAACATCAGTATAGATTCCTTTATGAGATCTGAATGGAAATGCAGATTAACTTACAATTTAATAAACAAAAGCTACCTCTCATTGATAGGCCATCTGAATATTTTCTTTTTCATTCCTCTAACATGCAAATGATGGACCACTATTCTCAAAGACAGCGGGAATCTATCTCTTACATCATGGCCTGGTTCATTAAAACTAACATTAAAACAGTTAAAATGAGTCCCCAATAATTTATTAATTACAGGGCAAATGCCTTTTACAGATTTTTAAAAAATGTACAATAGATTGTACCTTGTTCCTGGGTAGATGCAGTTGGCCATTTAAAATAATGACATTGGGCACTTGAGAACCATGTTAGATCCCACAACAAAAGATTCAAAGGAGATCTGGGCTGGCAGTGAGGATGCAAGGTTGGGTGCTCACTTACGCAGCTCCAGACAAATGGTAGGACAGAGATAGAGGACAGAGATTTTCATGAAATGCACGCTCCGATTATAGATGGATAATTTATAGAATGCAAATAAAAATATAATGCAACTAAGCATTATGTGGAAGACTGTGACCAGCTGGGATGCAGCAAGGGTTTATCTCACCACTGTAGTGCCCAGCTCACGCTTTCCAGCCCCGGAGTGTCATGCCATGACATTCCAGGTTTCTGGAACCTGATTTTTAACAATCTTTCAGGTTTCCTCCTGTTTAAGTGTGTGGTACCTTCACAGTCTTGTAACTTTTGCATCTGGCAGTGGCCAACAGTGGGTGGAGAGAAGGGATTGATCCATTTTGTGTTGCCATAGTGTGGGAAGTAGACATTTTCCCTTCTTCTGCTTCTTTTTTCAAGCCTTGTATACTTGCTGCTTCACACCTCGATTGCTGCACACCTGCACATGTTCAAGGCAGCATTTTTATTTTTAAAAAGTGTAAAAGTACAATCCTCTACAGGTAAACATGGCACTGCATCATGCGACTTCAGTAAGGAGAACCCTCCATTCTGATTGAACATACACCATGCGTTTCCATGTAATCGGTGTCATACGGCTCTGAATATGGTGCACAGCTGCATGAAATAAAGAAGTGAATGGTATACTTCTTGTTATTTCCTTCAGCGTTCTCTTTTAGTAACATGGCATGCATAAGGTATAGCTGCCTGGTGATGCCCAGGTAAAGGAATGGTGCCATGGGAAGGACTGTCTCAGAAGATCTGTTTACCTGCACAGCTTGCTGCCTGCAGACTAAGCGATGTGGAGTGACTCCAAAGCCCCAGCATTCCCTTCTTTGGGTTCTTGATCTCAGATTTGGGGCAGATGGTTATTTAAAGAGAAGTTGCTTTCAAATATAGAACTGTCCTCTGTAAAGTAGGTCACCCTAGTTTAAGGTGTGGATGATCCCATAGTGTCAAAAAAGTGAGAAGGAAACCAGTTCATTTGACTTCATAGTCCTACAACTATTTTAAATACATCATATTCAGTTCAATAGGATTGACTTCTTGCACCTAGCTCCAGTCAGCCTCCTCCTAACCCCAATTTATGCATGTTGTGGATTTTTACAAATGTAAACCATTATTTTAGTGTGTTAGTATCCCGAGAGTCTCATAATACCTGAAAGCTAGCCGATACATCATGAGGATTTTGTTCAATAAACTAGAGGTCAAACCTGCTCAGCCCTGAAATTTATTTTAAGTAGCAGAATTGGAGCCCATAATGTCTATTCTTATTTCTCCACAAGCTTTTATGGATTTTCAGCCTAATTTTGCGGGGTGGCTGTGGGAGGCTCTGCAGTTTCTATTGCTATGGGCAACCCAATGTATTTTGTTGCCTGAAGCAAAGGACTAGACAGCCTTTCTCCATGCCTTGCACAAACACTAGTGAGTTGTCTACTGAAGCATTCTTGAACGCTGGCAATGGCACACCATTTTCTACCGCACCTGAAGGCAGCAAGAAAACGTCCAGGGTCCAGGACAGGCCATATGGCACACCCAGCTCTGCTCTCCAAAACTTTGTTCCCATTTCCCAACATCTGCTGCCTGAACGGACCACTTCATTGTGCATAACAGTAGGGCAGGCCTTGTTATGGTTAAATAACTGGTAATCAGAAACCACTGCTGATCTAGCTATGAAGGAGGAGGAGACCATGCCAGTAAAAATACAAAAACCAAAGTTCTTCTGAAAGATCCTGATCTACCTTCTCCTTCAAATAAACAGGATCACTTAGCTCTTTTGTACTTCAGCCACCAAAACCAGGGAAGAATAAGCATGTACACCAAACCCACAGAGAACTCAAACCAAGCCTTTCAGATGGCTCTCTGCTGACACCAAGTGTTTCTCTTTCTTAGATCATCTCCTGGCAGAAGACTTTTTAAAGCATCAGGCATTGATTCAACATGCCTATCATATGGGGTTTTTAAGAGTTTTCTGATGATTGTTTTTCATTTAGTGGATTTGGTTTTATTGTGTGAATATTTTGTTGTAATCTGCTTTGATTTCCTGCTTGAACAAATAAAGCAGGAATTTAAACAAATAAAAGTTTAAGTACAAACGAATGAGTGGGGGTGATGTTTGGGTCCAAAGGACTGATACAGTGTAAAAGCCACAGGAACAAGGATGAGACTATTTATGAGTTGAGACTAATTGAATTCTGTTTCTAGGCCACCCAAAAGTATATTTGTTTTTCAAATCCAAGTAATGACTGAGTTTGCATGAAATGACACCCCATCATGGGTTGCAACACACAGATGAGTTGTCACATTGTGCAAATCCTGTCTGGTTTCCCCAAGGATTGCCATAGGAATTGCTTGTGCACAATGGGTTGTGTTTTTTCAACTCAGTTGACCAATCCCATTATTGTAGGGAGAACTGGCTAGCTGGGCATTCTGGAGTGGGACAAAAGCGGATGTGCCTCCAAATCCAAAAGCACAGAGTTTACAATCAAAACCTCATTTTAAAGGAATCTGGAGTTGTGACAGCTAGCTGTTAAAACTCAGTTTCCCTCAAAAAACTGAGGAATGGTGTATATTTGTACTTCTTTCTGTCCCTAGAGGTTCAGGGTGAGTGCAAATGCTGAAGGGAGATTTAAATTCCCCCAAGACAGTTTAAATTCCCCAAAGAACATTCTTCACAGCTAAAGATTGCTCACACCTTTATTTGTTCTTGACATCTTTCCCTTTGACAGCTGTCAAAGGAAACTAAAGGGGGAAATATGCATTGGAACCTCTTCTGTGTTGGGTGGAGGGTGGCCTGCAGTGGGTGAGTCTGTGGAGGCACTTCGAAGAGCAAAGCTGCCAGCTTTGAACATGGGGATCACAAAAAGTTAGCTTGACAGCTGGCTTTCACAATCACCCCCACTCCCCAACAAAAAAAGCTCCAAACTGGTAAGGGGGAATGACTTCTTCCTTCCATAGTGTCCCCGGTAATACCCGAGTGAACTGAGTGAGGACGAAGGGGCCACCAACCCATTGTGAATGCAATCATCAATTGGAAATCACTGTGGATGATTGCACAATGGACTGCCCACAGGCAGGGTAAGCTGTCATGACATATCCAGCTATTAGGAGGGAGTTGAAGTCCAAGCCATCTGGATGAGGGAAGGTTCAGATAGTCAAAGAAAACCAAGATCAGAGAAAACCAAATCAGCTTAACAAGTTATGCCACTGAACCCCAGCCCAAAGAGCTCATTCAGGAGTAAACGGGCCCAGACATGGATCTTCCTTTTGGGGGAGAGAGCTCCACTGTTTGTGCAGCCACCACCAAGAACTTGCACACAGGTTGTGTACTGCCAAGAGTTCAGGGCATGCTTAAGCCAAAGCAGTACTGGGCTCACGCACTTTGCTGTTGTGACACATCCTAGAAACATTTTTATTTCATTCAATAAAAATGCTTCCAGAGTGGCCAGGAAAATGACATTTCTCCCAAGCAGTCTCAGAAGCCTGGAACAAGTCAGACCCATATATTTCAGTGAAATGCGTATATGGAAGAACTAACTTTTCAGGAAACAAGTCACAGTCTTCCTTTCATTCAAAGGGAATTTAACCTAGATCATAGTCATCTCAAGATGGAATATAGTTAGATTTATAAGAACCCTCTTTTGGGCTTCCTGCAAAAGTAAAGTTCCAAGTTTATAAAAAACATTTCCGATAAAAGTTTACTCTGTACAGGAAAGGGGGCAAAGGATGGGGGAATCAAACAGCACCAATTTTAATCAATGTTTATTTATAAACATAACATTTACTATAAAAGCGGTTGCATTTTAGAGTTTTTTTAACTTGCCAGAGGCATTTTAGAATAAATATCATCAAATGAAGATTAGTGTAATTGGTATTTAACATTAATCCATGTAGGACACTTGTCCTTTGGTGATGTTGCATATAAAGTAGCCCTCTTTTGGCTCACCAACTTTTATACCACATTATCGGTAACTACAGTAGATAACGGAATTTAAGTCTACATAACAAGAATAAAGAACCACTATGATGTTTTGAGATTGAAATATATAAAAAATAATTATGACATGGTTATGCCTGCTCTCTAAAGAATGAAAAGCTAAATACACTTTTTGGAACACTTAGAAAAACCCATTACATTTATTATATTGGCGCATCAACAGTAAACCACTCTTTGAAACACATATTTACCATTTCAAAACAAACATAGTAGTAAATCATTGAAATTTTCCTGCCACCCTGCCAACCCTCCCCAAAAGATTTTGAAACAACAAATATGTCACAGAACAGCACAGAGCTGGAAAACATGAAGGATGAAGTGCAAGCATACCTCCTGTGTAGTAATTTGAAACAAAATACAAAAAGGGAGAGTTGGCAGTTAAAGAAATATTCTCTATGCTGGTGACTAATCAATCCTTGCTGAGAAACTGGGGCTGTGATCCATGAGTGCTTGGTTATTCAGGTTTAGATACATATGAAGTTAGCTGCCGCCTTACAGTTACACAGAAGGAGAGAGGTGGTCAGTTACATTCATAAGTGCCCTTACCATAAAATTCTGTTTATGTATAAAAATGGTGCACATGAAAAATCTTGTTAGCAAATTCAGGCTACTGTTATGTTCTACTGAAATTGACAGGACTTTAAGGCTACAATCCTTTACTTTCTTATTAGGCAGTAATTCTCACTGAGCTCCATGGGGCTGATTTTGACTAGCCATGCATAAGGGACTGCAGTGTAAGTTTGTTGAGACCTGCAGAATTCTCAGAATTTCACGCATCAGTTAGCGAAATCTTTCTGCACAAGGGCAAATCAGAATGTTTGCAATCCACTGAAGCACACTCCTCTGCAAGGAGCCACATAAGAGCACATCAAGTTTTGCTCTTGTGCAAGTTCCATTCCTCTGCATGGGAAGTCTGTAGAAGTTCCCACTGAATTGTATACAAGGAGCACAGTGAAATGTACTTAGCATCTGCTTCCAAGAGTCTTAAACATGCTCAACTATGCAGTGGATTCTGGCCAAGTCTCACACTCTGCACATCCACAGAATACCCACTGCAATCAATGGTGCCTAAGGAAATCTTTCTCTGTACCACGCTGCATCCTAGAAGTAAAAGTGCATCTACTTCGGCACAAATCCACAGATTATTTGTGCAACTGCTCCATTCTCAGCCAGCAGGCTACCCAGATCAGTGGTGCACTGGCCACGTGACAACACACACTGAGGCCAGAATTTCCAGAGAACATAGCTGTGTAGCAATGACAAGAAGAATGCCATACTAGAGAGTTCAAAGTAATGTTAGTCCTGTCCTCACCTGCCCTGTCTACCTGTGTTTGAAAGGTACAACACACATCATCACAAGCCTCTTTCCTGTTACTTTGGAGTTAGAGCAAAAGCGGTGCAGCAGGCACTGGGAGGTTCTTCCAGACAGCTGCATCTGTGCAGAACGGGAATCCTTGTTCCATAGCTTCTAGCTGTCACCCTCCAAGGTGTTCTACAGGCAATATGCAGTCCTCACTTTTTCACATGCCTAACGGAGGGCCATTGGCAAAATGTCTTGTGGAATTGAGCCTATGGGTGTTCCAAGGGTAAAGGAACTTGGATTTCCCCTGAAAAATGCAGTGCTCAAACTGGAGCATGCCAAGAGTTTATACATATAAGCTATGCAGAAGCAGAACTATGTTCTGAATAGGAATCTCCATATTCATACCGTTAAAGCGGCATTCCCAAACTTGTGCAAACTGACACACACTTTTTCCTTGAACTAAAATGGGAGGCATACTTCACTGGTACACCAAGAACATTTTCTTCTATAGCACATGTAAGAAAGAACTACCTGGTCCCAGAAGAGCCTGATCTCATTATTTCTATTTATTAGAATAGGGGTGGGCAGAAGGTGGACCTTCAAGTATTTTAGACTTCGATCCTTAACGTTCTTAACCAAGGCCATACTGGCAAGGGCTTAAGGGAATCAAAGTCCCAAACAGCCAGAGATCTACCTTCTGCTCACCCCTGCAAAGAGGGTTGAGCCTTCCCGCAAGTTCAAAATTATGTGCCGATGCAATGGGAAGACTCTTCAGAAGTTGGCTAAAGCTGCTACATCTCTGCAACTAAGCAGAATGACCTGCCCCAACTAGGTTGATTGGAAAGAGGCCAGGGTGGTGAAACAGCTATTCATGCAGAGATACGGCAGGTAGCCTTCCTTATACTTTGGAAGCATAGAAGTCTTACATTATGTAATCTATCCATTTTGCAGGACACACTGGTAGTGCTCTAACAGTCTACAAGTGAGGTATGACTGCCTTAGTATCACAGGGAGAAATCAGTGATGGAGCAGGCAGGTGTGGGGAGATACTTAGACAAATCTCTGGCTTCATTTTTTCATACTGTGGATTTCTTACTTTGCAGAGAGGCATTATGAGTATAGCACAATCCATGCAAACTTCAAACCGTTCCAAATGCATCCCCAACAAACCACATCAACAGCTATTCACAATACAGAAATTAACGTTCTATGCGAATTGCTGTCCTAATTAATTAACCTTTAAAAAATACCAGTATTACATCCTTAAGTCACTGGCAACTGTGCAACAAGTTTGTATTTTCTAAGGCACCATTTTAATGAACTGTGTAGCCTCTTATCAGACAATGATTTGCTTTCAAATAGACAACAGCAGCATATAAATCCTTCCAGGTGGCAAAGGAGACATTTTTGTATCAGCACACAACTGCACGTCAAGATTTGCCTAGACAAATAAATACATACAAGCTGAGTGACCCTTAGAAAGTATTTATTGCTTACCTAAGAACTGAAAGGTATTTCTTCTTGCAAGATGGCTGATGATATGTAATACAACCATGATATAACAGGGAATCTCAATTAATTCAGATGTTTTTAAACATTAGTCTTCTTAAGGCAGCATATACATTTTCTTTTTAAAGAAAACATTTTGGTACTAACAACATATGCTGCCAAATCACCGTTTCCTTTAATCAGCTTGCTGAAGATGCAAGATAGCATCGCTCCACTCACCATGTTCATCAAGTCAGCAAAAACACGTCCTGTGCCTCCAACAGGGCACGCCTGTTCCATAACCACTGGTAAAATATTAATAAGGACCTCATACAGTGCATTTCAGCTAAACATGCTTAAAATCAGATTCAGTCAGCATGTTTGGGTCTGAGTTCCACATATTGATACATTCAAATACATGGAAGTCATCATCATCAGGGAGAAGGATAGTTCTTCAGCTCTTTTAACAGCATGATGGTTGCTGCTGTTCCAATATCAGCGATTCCCGAGCTGCTCCAGAAAATTATTTACATGCAACTGGGAAACTACATGAGAAGAGCATGTGTGGCCACATCCCACATCAATGCTCTCACAGTGGAAAGTAATCACAAAGTGTCCCTCCCTATACACATAGCCCTGATCCATGATACATATCATCAGGGTCACAGCTCATAAGGTAACTAAAAGAATGATACAAGAATGATGAAAAGAATCACATGTTGGGTATTCTCTGTGGACCACTGACTTCCAAGTGCTCCCAGCTTTGCTCCTATTGGGAATGTCTGGTGCAGGCTTAAAAGCCAACAGCCTCTGAAGACTCAGCACATGATGATCAATACCAACAGTTGATCCATCCTGCAGTTGCTATGAATAAGGGTGAGTGGTCTTGCTCTACCTTTCCTTTTGTGTAGAAATAGCCAATCATGTTGATGTGGAAGCAGATCCCACTGGATTCAAGTGAACCAACTTCCAAGTGTCTGTGGTTCATATCTCACTCTAAATCATATGACTAATTTCTTAGAATCATACGAACCCTTTAGATGTCCTGCTTTCTTTGCTTTTAACTCTGTGTGTGAAAGCATGTAATAAGCTATGCAGAGCGACATTATTTAAGAGGGGAGAGGGGAGAAATAAATCAGGAGTCCCTTAGTTGTACAAATCACTGAATATTCCATTCATATATACTCAAACCGTGCAAACAGAATGCATATACTATCCAAAGTTCCACAGGACTCCTGCGTGCACAAAGTAGACAACGTCAAACCTACCCACTACTAGTCCAATGGAGAGCTAGCAGTTCTCAAATAAATCCAAGCTGAGCAGAAACACTTTTCAGATGCGTCAGTCAGTGGAACCTGCCTTTCTGCTTGTTTCCAGGGTTTTTGAACCATGAGCTCCCTGTTGCATGAGTAGTCGGTCCCACTTGTGCAACAGATCAAACAGGAGGGCAGTGACAGTGAAGATACTGCCCAGTGCCTGGCCCATCCCCTTTGACATCAGAGAGCTTTGGGCATATGGCCTTATTGCATACGTTCATCTTTCAGTCGTCGTGAACCACAGTTTTGGCATCTGGTGTTGCTCCAAGCACATTCTGGGAAGTATTTGTAATATGCAGTCATATTTATATGAAGAAGGATTAAGTATTTATTACTCATTATTTATTATCCCAGGGTAGCCAAATTCTGCATCCTCAGAAGTGATTCTACACTCCATTCTAGACAGTGTGGGGCTGAGGCATTTCATTTTGATCTGTTCACAACTGGTTAGACTCCATAATAAGCTGGCGACTTAGCAGTAAATTTTCACTGTTACAGTACACATGCAATGAGGCACAGCTGAGCCATTAAATACCAACTCCAAAGGACAGAAGTAACATTAGGGTAAATTTTTCCTTATGAATACTGGGCTTTACCACAACATTATTAAAATTGGAGACGGTTACCAGGAGCCAGGAAAAACTGCTTCATTGAGTAGATCCAGCTCACTGACTGCCAATTGGCCATTTTGATCAAGTATTTCTACAACCATTGAATACATGAGTTAAGTTTAGTGAAAATGCTTGCATTCATTAAAATAATGTGTTATTACAAGGAGCATCATTTTATGCACACAGTGACTGTGTGACTGAAGGTGAAATAATTTATTCATAGAATACCTACCCTCACGTGAAGGTAATATAGTAAAATGTTTCAGAATTACAATATGCTTTATCAAACTAGTGTCTTTGTATAAAAAAGTTACCGCCCCAGTAATAAACAGAAAGTTACTTTCTGTGATGCTGCTTAATTTTTTCTCTCTCTCAAATACAACTAATTTGGTTAATACGTTGGCATATTATAGAATACCTACGGAGGTTGTGTAAACTTAAAATTCTCAGTTCCTAGGCATATTAAAACAGAACAAGTTTATTGCATCTTTATTTCCTAGTTACTTTCGAAAGAGCAGACTCTGAAACCAAACATAACTGATAATATGAAACACGCTCTCATGGGAGGGTGGGGGTGGGCTAGATGTCCAGAGATGTACTTCATACACATAATGTAAGTGAATCAAGGAAGGAAAGTTATGTATTGCATTGGAAAGTAGCCCATATAGCCTTTTATGCCAGCCTTTCGAGATGACATGAGAGCTATGAAGTCCATGGACAGAAGCTCTTCCAAGGGCTTGTCCAGAAGCAGCCCTAGGAACGTAATGGCGATGTTCTTCCTTGCAAGAACCACACACAGGCCTGAGATCCACGTCACAAGGTTGTCGGCTGCCCAGCGGCTATATCAAAAAAAGGCAAAAAGGTCAAAGCCACAATTTGGTATGCAAGAAACAATGATGCCACTCAAATAGATATTTTACGTTATAATACTTGGGATGCTTTTGGTTTTTTGTTTTCCAAACAGAACCAGTAAGATTAAAGTTAGAGCACCTTTGCTCTAAAGCCAGGTATTTCAACTACCTGTGTTACTTGTCAATTCCCTCCCCTACTTTGAAGCATGTTTTTGTGTGCGACAGTGTTTAAGAAGAAACAAAGTCTTGTGGCACTCTGTTTGGAATGTGGTTAAATTAGAAGTGCCGTGCACAGATCTCAAACACGCTGATTCATCACCCCAGAGACCTGCATTGTGTCAGCGCGTGCATCTTGCCTTGACACGTTACCTGTCTGTGGGTCAAGAGCAAGGAACAATGTGTAATCCAAGGCTATCTCAAAGGGAGTGAGGGGCAGGGGATTGGTGAGACAGGTGAGAACTTTACCTCCACATTAAACCTTTTAAGATCCCTCTACAGTGAAAAGATATTGTCTCTTTTGGTATTCCAGAGCATGCCTATCAAACTATGTAGGAGCCCTCCCTGAGAAATGATGGACTTGCAATATTAAATGGGAAAAAGGTTTGATAAGTAAAAATAAACTTGAAAACATTTGGAGACCATTTATTGAACATATTTTAATAAGAGGAAAGGGGTGTGAACCACCACAAAAGTCAATGCCGTTCTGGAAGGGCAGTGGGGCAACCTGAATGAATAAATGATCTTACATTAAGTGACTTGATCTGTTGGTCCTGGTGGAGATAGCACTAGTATTGTTTCACTATGTTTATTAGTAATGTTTAATTATGTTCACTGTTGCTATATTAATTGTACTGGTTTTGCTAGTTTAATAAAAATTCTATATAAAAAAAGAAATTATGGACATGTGGGAAAGAGCCTCCACAAGTATGCCACTGGTGCAGGGGCAACACAGAGCTCGCACAACTATGCCTCTGGCTCCCTTTGTTTCATGCAAAATAGCGTCACCCCATCTCTCACGCTCCTGGAGAAGTTGCAGAAGCGATCTATACATCTGGGAGGAAGAAGTGTGAAAATTCTATTTCTGATAAGGCAGTATCTCCCCCTCTGTGCCTACCCTGCAGCAGGGGAGTCCTTGTGGGAAAAAGGGCCTGGGGCCTGCATCACCGGCCCCACCCCTCACATCCTGCAGCTTTTCCACCTTCCATGTATTAGGCTTGATGTGTCAGCAGAGGAAGCCCATGTGCTTATACTCATGGATGTTGACTGTACAAAGCCAGAGTGCTTTCTTAGTACCTCTTAAGACATAACTGACACGTGCTAGCCAATCCTGAGGATAAATTTCTTGCCAAAAAGGCATCCGTTTAATTTGGACCTAAATCCACCTATTACAGGATCCCTAGCAAGAAATGCAGATACAGGCAGCTCCAAACTAGCAACTCAAAATCAGATATTTGTCTTCTGTTCTACTTTTCCCACCCCTGCTATAGGCATGATGTTAAATTCTAAGCCAAAGGCATTTAGGTTGAAAAAAAGTTTAAGCTAATACAGAGAAAGATTCAATCTCTGTTTTTATTTATTTGCCCTAACCCAATGAAGTCTAAAGAATGAAATGGAATGGCTGAGAAGCTGTACAACAGCACCCTCTGCCTTTCAGAATGTGAACCTGTTTCCATGCTCAGAAAATCATCTTAAAAACAGAATTTATTTTGCAGAACCAGAAGTATGTCAGCTGTCCTCCCACCCCATTATCCTTAACATGCATAATTGTGCAGGGGCAATATTGCTCTTTCAGTTGTCCATCACGGATTTTCTGGTGCTAAATTTGCATGAACTATGCTACTGAGTGCAGGGCCAGATGGCATAGCACAAAATTTAGTCTGCCATCTTTTTAGATGAAAGGCGAATGTAAATGAACCAGTAGGAAGCGGCAGGATCAGTCTGTTTTCTCCAAGATGTCAGGCGTCTTCAAGAACATCTGGCACTCAGCAGCGGCTGCTGATTGCAGTGCTAGTGGGGCCACCAGTGGGTAGATCAAGTTCAGAATCATGGTTGGCTTCTTTTAAAATTCAGGCTAAAACCCAGGATAGATACACTGCCTCATTCACATAGGAGATGCCAGGCTCCTCCACTGGCACAAAGAGGGAAAGGACCCCTATGGCTGCCCCAACTGAGTGTGTACGTGGGCCTCAAGCAGGGGAAAACGTGGTGTGCCGAGGATCAGGGAGGGCCATGAAGTCGTGCCAAATTCACACAGTACCCTGCCTCCCTCCCTGGTGCTGTGAGCAAACAGCTGACCAGATCGAATGCAGGGTGTGAGGGACAGTGTAGTAGTGGTGCCGCCACCACACTGCATTGGATGAAGGAAGCGAGGATGATAGGATTGGGCCCACTAGCTCTAAGTCTACATGCATGTATACCTGGAAGCAAACTCTGCTGAACACAAATTTACTCTGCTGAGTAAATGCCCATCGGATTTGCACTGCTAAGGTACAAAAATAAGAAGCACAATCCTAAAAGTTAATTTTTTCACTGTACACAGTAGGCCTTGCTTCTCAGTAAGCAAACATCAGATTGTGTTGTAGAGTGCTTATTTTTGGCAGGACTGTGCTCCTGGGGCTTTCTGTTTGTTCATGTGTTTCCACAAATGATTTTGGGAAACTGATTCAGATGTAAGGATAAGTGGGCTTGAAAGGATTTTGTGGACTAATATAGGTCCAAGGCTTCTGCAGTATGCAGTGTTGAGCAGAAACAAAATGGGATATATCAGTTGATCAACTGGGATGTATCAAAGTGAGACCAGCCGGGGGTACTTACTCCTGGATCTGATGTAACAATCATTGCAGTTGAGAAGGCCATTTCTAATTCGGACATCTGTTCCACTTGATGCATCTCCAAGCTGTCCCTTACAAATTCCACACTGTTTATTGAGAAAGAGTAGTGACAGTAAGGGTTAAAAAGTTTATATTCATTTTACACTTGATTGTCATGGCACTTTCCTTCCTCAAATCTTGGAAAGTGTATTTTGGGGATGGTAATAAAAAAACATCACTTGATTATACCTCTAAAATGGGGATGGGAAACTGTGAGAGGACCAAGGGCTATTTGCATACCCTCAAGCTCCTCCCCACCCTCATGGGCTACACTAGACTACAAAAATGAAATCACCAATTTGCCACTGAAGTTTTGCAGAAAACTGCTTTGGAGTGTGCCAAAGAATTAAAAGACTTACATTTTGCTTGTTTGTGCACGATGGAATGCTAAAATAAACAAATATAGAATGCATAGAAGCTCAGTCAGACATTCTAAGCACTCTCTAGCCAGTACAGAGTGCTATTCTGTTGGTTTAAAAAAACCTTAAAACAAAAGCCTTAGACCCCTTGCAGGACTACAGTTCTCCAGGGAGAAGGAATGACAGCTCAAGTCAGTGGTGTACAGATGCCATTTTGGCCTGCATCTTACCCAGATTAATGGGCAAAAGGTCCTTCACTGGTCTGACAGTTCAAGTCAGCAGGGGTGGAGACTCAACCTGGTCCTAAGGGCAGGAATGTCTCCTAGGACCAAGCAGGAGGGTCAGATGACATCAGAGGGCAGGATCTTCACTTTCTTCTGATATCATCTAGCCTGGTGTCCATTTCTCCATCCAGAGAAAGCACGGAAAATATTATTTCTTCAGCAGTCCAAACAGGTGCCATATTATGAAAATCACTGACCTTTGGCCAGGCTGATGAGAAGGGCCCTTTAACTGGTACATGTTATAAATTAGTAGACTATCCGGCACTGTATTATGAAAATCATGAGCTCTAGATGCTGCTTGCCTGTTTAATTGGTCTGTTGTTGACATGGCTCTATTCTCCATAGTGAGAAAAAAGAAATCAAAGGCAGAGCCAAGTATAGATTTTGTCAACTGTTTTGCAACTTTTCTAGGAACCACCAGTGATCTACAGACCAGAGTCTGACCACCTCTGGCCCAGGTGAAAAAAGAGGGGCAGGCTGTTTCAGGCACAAGACACAACTGGAAAAGGACAATGGGGAGGGGAGGGAAGGGAGACCAAGTATTTCTGTGTACATTGGCCATGGGGAACCTCTAAGAGCCTGAGGGCTGAATTCCATTTGAGAGAAGCTTCCAGGGGTCTCATTCCAGCGGCAGGCAGAGCCAAAGGAAAAGAGGTAAAGGCAAAACATGCTAGTACACTGTTGCTGGAAGCTCATTGTGGCTTAAAGCCATTTCAGGTTTCTAGATGAGGAAAATCTGGATGGAAGCCAGGAATCTACCAAATGGATGCTATTTGGAGGAAAGCGGAATCGGGGGGGATATGAGGAACACTGAAGGGCCAGGCTGGGACTGGATTTGCCCTCTGGGACTAAGGGTCCCCACCCCTGCAGCATATTCTATTTTACTTTCTTTTACCCTTGCCAAGAAATATATATGACCGAATTGTTATGCAATGCTTCTAAGGCTTCATCTTTATAATACCACCTTGTAACCCTGGCAAGAGGACTTCTGAACATACTTCTACACTCTGGCTCTAACAACTAGAGCACTTGCTATACAGGATGTAAGTTGCCTCCAGGAACATCTGGCGGGGTCTGCTGTCCCAGTGCTGGTGGAGCAGGGGAAGCATTCAGTTCAGAACCACGGATGGCTTCTTCAAAAAATTCAGGCCAAGACCAGGGATGGATGCACTGCCCCACTCACACTAGGGCTACCAGGCTCTGGGTAAAGGATCCCTATGGCAAGCTGAATTAGATCTCCCAGCTATGTGCATGTGTGTGAGCAGGGAGATGAAAGACAGAAAGGTTCTGTCACAGGGAAAAGAAAATTGGCAGGCCTGTCTGGAGTTGGAAAGCATAAGTATTTGCAAGCCAACCCTACCCTGAAGCACTGAATGTGGAAATAAAGGCCAAGAGTCTCGATAATCATGGCAGCGCCTTTCCCAAGAGGTTGTCCACAGCTGGAGCAGAGTTTCTTTCCACTGATAGACCTAAAAGAAAAGGCAAATGTGGGATAACACTTTCCTCCCATGACATGGTGCCAATGAACCTCACCCCCAGCAGACTGGTATATGGGAGGGAAGCCGCCACTGCTCTGGAAAGTCTGGCCTGCTTTTGTGAATGTAAAATGTGCCTGTTGAGTGGTATATACATTTAATAAAGATGAAGCTGGCACTCAACAAAATTGCAGGACGTTCTTGGAAAGTGCCCGATTTTCTTCCTCAAAGCATCCCCTGGTGGGTGATTAAAAAACTGCAGTGCAGTGCATGTTTGTTTCAACATCCTTTCAGCTGTATGGCTTAGCTGGGAACTGGTTGCTGAGGCACTTATGGGCTTGCATTAGACCTATCCCAGTGACTGTATGAGCTCCTCTTAACATACACCACATAAGGATGATTTGCAGGTTCATGGTGCATTAGTAGGGTCCTGGAGTTAAGCCAACTGTCTCCTAAGTCCTGGCTCATCTAAGCATGGCATTGAAGCAATTTCTGAGTATTTGTAAAAGCCGCTCATAAATATTATCAATATTATTATTCCTGATAATAACAAAATAATAGGTATTTTCAAAAATATGCTATTGATTCACCCACACAACCCTCCTCAAAGCTATGTTCACCAATCTGGTTCAAAATCTTAACTTGGAAGAGCAGTTTATTGACTTCAGAATGCTCTATTGACCTTTTATACCTGTTGGGTGACTGGCTCTGAACTGTTGGAGAACCAGGTGATGCTGGACCAGCTTTCGGGCTCTCCTGGCAACCTGCCCTGAAGTACAGAACAGAAAAGAATTCTGGTGAAGCTTTTGAAATAAGTGCTCCATTGCAGTACTGGAGGGAAAATGGGCAGGTCCTTGCTTGGAACTATATATGTTGTCTGGCTCTTGGAAAGACATCTTCTGCCTCAGGCAGGGTTGTTGTGCTGGCAGACAAGACAATTTAACCTTCAGAATGGCTGGGCCAAGTCTCTGGCTTTGGAGGTAGAAAAAGGGAGAGCTTTGTGGTAAAACTTTTTTTCAGGCAGTGCTTCTTCAAATATCAGACGAGTTGCAAGTCTAAATGGTTACACACACACACACAAAGCTCCCAACAGATTCACTATAATTATGAAGCAAATCCTTTTTTGAATATCACATTAAACACAATATGACTGGTAGAAGCCTTTAATCATGTGATCTCCCACCTACCTGCCTTCACGGTACAGTCCAGGAGTACTTTACCATATGATCAATCATTTATATAGACCCCTTCCCCCATCTTTTATAGGCCACATTCCTTCCCGCAGAGAGGTCCTGCAATTGCTCACACTCTGGGCCAGGTTCAAGGGACCTCTTCCTCTTCCCAAGAGCCCCTCTCTGAAGGATCCATGGCAGCATATCTTAAAAGCATCCCTTATGATGCAGTTAGTCAGGCAAGCCTTTATCACCTACCTCCTACTTTCTCTTGTGGAACTGACCGGCAGACCTAAATTATGTTCAAATGGTGAGTTTTTCCATTTGACATCTGAAACACGTGGATTAGTTAATGGTTGTTGATTCTGTGGAATATCTGAAAAAAGAGATTCCAATTAAACAGAAACATGTGTATTAAGCTGTCATTTGCTAGAAAAGGCATTTCTAAATTCTACACAGGAGGGGTGGGGAAGAGAAAGAAGGCACAAACTCCCTCAAATAATATACAATTGTTTTCTTATGGCTGTCTGGTGTGGACAGAGCCTTTCTTTGGTTTTCACATAGCTAAGTCAAAGAAGAGTAGAGGGGTAAAAATGTGTGGGGTTAAAAAATAAGGGGCTTGATAAAAAAAGGAGAATTTTACTGTAGTCACAGCAGTATTTTTCATTAATGGTTGATTAAAACCAACCGGCATATAAGTATTCCAAATAAATAAACAAACAAATAAATAAAAATATTTCCCAATGGCTTTTAATGCCTAGAAGATACCTGTTTAAATGTCCCTGATAGCTATTTACTACTAGCTACCAGTCTGAATGTTGGCTGATGAAGAGGACAGATTTTTGCAGCAGTTTTAACTGTTTTGGGGTTTGAGTAACCCCCATACTTGTAAACTGGCAACTAGGTCCATGTTATATAAGTGCCACTGAAACTGATGCTAATAGGGTTGCCTATGGAATCTCTGAGGAGAGCAGGGTGTTATGAAATACAAACACTATCAAATAAATGTAAAATAATTATATGCAATTATCCATTATCTGACTTCTACAGCCTTGCCTAGACAGCAGCTCTTTCCTTGTGGGTGCATCTCAATGCCTTATCAGAAGGTGAAGTGCTGCAGAATGAGCATGCAAGGGAGGAATATACTTCAGCAAGGCAGAAAGCTCAACAAAAGGGTGGTGGAAGGGACAGGAACTGCCAGGTGCATGACTCTGGGGCAACAGAACTGCACGTTAAGTTCAATCTCAGATGATCTGCTGAAATTCCAGTTGCTTTACTTTAATGCCATCTACATTTTTGTTTCATGCACTTTCAGTTATCACCATATTTAAGTGCCATATGCTCTACTGAAGGTTTTTTTTTTAACTTTGGCAGCAAATTTTGAGATTTAAAAATCTGGGTTTTATCATGCTTCACAGATATGTATGATCAACATGCTCAGAATGGTTGCTTATTGCCCATATCATTTTACTGAATACAGAAAAATAGATTAAGTAATATTATTGTAATGAAAGTAGAGTCTTGTGACTTTCAAATTTGTCTTAATGGCAATATAGATAATAATAATCAACATTTATTAATAGCTATTAACTGAGCATGGTTAAATGTCAGAGCATCTTAGAAAGCAAAAGTGCCAATATTTTGACTTAACTTGCATTTCAAAAATCTATGAACAAGTGCCATTTTGTACAAAGAAATTCAAAGTAACTGCATTTCTCACATCTGCTCCAAATGTAAACAGATACGCAATACTAGTAGCAGATGCTACTTTAAATGCAAGATGAATAATTAAAGAGAGACTGTTGTTTCTGTTTGTAGTCCAGGTATTTTGTTCTTGTTTTACAAAGAGATTTAAAAAGTCTTCACATACCCTGGTATAATGGCAAGGTCATTTTGTTGGGCAACATACATTCTGACATGGTTATCTGTTCATCTTGCTCATTTCTTCTCTGATTGCTGGTTTCTAGATATCCTTCTATATTTACAGTGCTGATAAACAGAAAACAGATTTTACAAAGAAAGGCAGGAATAACATCAAAGAGTTCTTTTTAATAACTTGATTGTGCCAAAGGCTGCCCACAGATGGAATATGAGGCAGGTTCAGATGTCTTTACTTTGGCTATCTAAATATGCAGCACCAAATAGACGAACATATCCAACTGCATGAAAAAAAAAACTGTTGTGTTAGGTTTGCCTACTCTCTTAACCAATCAGTGACTGAAACCATATCAATAGCAACCAGACAAATAGATCTTCCAGCCATTGTAAATAGGTAACAGGATCTTCCATGTTGTTTGTAGGAAAAACCACAGTGGCAGAGCCTAAATGGCTGACTGGCTCCAAGTTCATGTCAGAGTGTTCTTAAGAACTGGCTGCTTGTCTGTCCTTGAAAATACACTCATGCTCCCAAATGTACACTATGAAATGTAACTTGGGACACAGGAACTGTAGTTAGCACTAGTGCATGCCCTTAGAAAGGAACAAAGATGGATTTCTTTAACTGCACCTGACTGAGAGCAGAAATTTACACACAGGAGGAAGTGCAGAGTTTCCATTTGCAGTACTGCATTTGAGATGATGTGAATATTTTGGCAGGGCTGGTGGCCACTGTTTCAAAGATGAAAGCCACCACTGATGTAACCAAATAATGAAGTAATCTCTAGGGATTATGAACATGCCCTTAGAGCAGCTTTAGGCAAGGAAATAATATGAAAGGATCACAAAGCACAAATCTCTTTGCACTTTCTGTTTCCACCTCTCCTTAACTTATCCAAGATGTTTGCTGTTTCCCCAGATGTGAAAAGGCTCATGCACTTGTTCCTCTGGAATAAACCACTGCAAGATTTTCTCTATTTACCCACGGAGCCAACTGGGTGGCTTTGGGCCTGTCACAGACCCTGAGCCCAACCTACCTCACAAGGTTGTTGTTGCTGTGGGGATAAGATTGAGAGCAGCAGAATTAAATAAGCTGCTTGGAATTCTTTGAAAGAAAAAGGGCAGCGTATAAGCCTAATAAATCTATATTTGTTTTACACACCTCCTGTTCTCCTCCCATGGTTCATGCACCTTGTTTTTCGAAAGGGATGTACCATCTGGTTCACAGAATAGCTTTTTCAGTACTCTAACGTCCTTTTGCTTATTCTCCTCTTCCGAGTTGCTCATATCTAGTGTATTCTGCAAAGAGGGAGAGATCAGAGACACTTATCTCAATTCAGCAAGGACTGTCCTCTTAAAATAGAACTCCTGAGAACAGTAGCATTATTACGCAGGAAGGGACGTTGATCAGAAAGCAACATAGGGTAGATCCTGCCGTCACTGCAAACTATGGTTTAGGCTTTCAAATTCTGACGGGCAAGGCATTTTAATTTCTCAGCTTCTCAGCACACTGCTTTGTGGCTAGCGGGTTGGACTGAGATCCAGGAGACATGGATTCTAGTTCCCACTCAGCTTCAAAGCTCACTGGGTAAGGTTGCACCAGTTACTAACTCTCAGCTTACCCTACCTTACAGGGTTATTGTAAGGATAAAGATTGTGAGGAGCAGGAAGATGATCTATGCCAAGTTCCTTGAAGGAAAAAAGGCAGGCTATAAATATAATAAATAAATACATCTTCATGAATAAAGTTTCATAGGAAAGCCTCCCTTAACTGTGGTTTGGCAGGATTATGTGTCAGCTATGGATTCAGCCATAGTTATTACATTATGCACTGTTCCCTCTTTTCTAAGCTATACACAATATGAGGCTGCTGCAGGCATTCCTTTCATTCCAAACAAAGGATTGGATCCAGAGTTCCTGTTCAGGCAACAGAACTTTTTCAGGAGGCAATTCTCCTTCCCTATGTAGCTTCCGGTGCTTCCCAAAAATCTATTCCAAAGAGTTAGAACTCCATGAAATAGGAAAGGTCATTCACTGAGTGGCAAAAGAATGATCAATATCCTCTTTATTCTCTATTTATGGAAGGGGCCCTTCATAGACAGAAAGACTCCTTCCATGAGCCAAAAGGTTTTAATTAAGGCATATTTTCACAGCTCTATTCATGGAACAAAATGGAATAGAATCACCCAGGTTAAACCGAGATTTAACTTTATATTCCAGATCAAGAAAGGTTTCCTTTAATAGCCCTTTTTTCCATCTCCAGCTGCTTGCTCCAGGTCTCCCAGTGAGCTCACCACAGTCCCATTTCCATCTGTCAGTGAGGAAGAAGTGGACAAGGGTTCTGCAGAGTTGGAAGTAACTGTGAATGGAACCACAGTGTCCTCAATGATCTTGCGTTCCTAAAGAGGAGGAAAGTCTGTCAGAGTAGCACTACAGATAAACTTAGGAAGAGGGAGTTTTAAGCTAGCACCATACAACACAACTAACAACTTAAGTGCATTTTTCTGATTTCCTCTGGGGAGGAATAAGCTAGCAGCCAAATATAGTAAATGTTTGAGAACAGAACTCAGGGAATAAAAATGGCAAAAAAATAAAGAGGGTGTATTTTGTTGCTATACAGACCTCCTAGTTCATCCCTTGCAACTTCTCTTCCTTGCTACTTAGCTGTACAGACAATTTAGGTTCAGTTTCCATGATCTCCTACTCTGAAAATTTGAGTTTTCTGAAACTCTGAATCCTGAGCCAGACCACCACAAAGCAAACAAGTAACATTATTTTTGAGTGTAGTGATCTTGGAAGGAACATGCACTTTGATTATTAAGAATATCATAATGTGCAAAGACTGCAGGTCATGTTCCCACTTGTTTACCATACTATGAATCAAAGCCCATCTCTTGCTTTGAAGCTTCCCATAGCCAAGGACAAACTGCAGGAGCTGTACAAGTTCCAAGCGGAAGTACCGACTTTCTAAATCCTGCAGCTGACATGTACAGATACTATGCCTCAGCTTACATCCTAGAGAGCACGCTGCAGAAGGTGGGTCGCATCAGCACCTGCTAAGTTGCTGTCCCAAGCTGCAATCTGCTGCTTTGTGCATCAAAGTGTAAGCTGTCATGGTTGCATTTCCCTCCAAAGGAAGTTAAGCCATGACGTGATCAGGGAATATCCAATGAGTGTGATAGTCGTCCAGGAAGGTATATAGAAATTACACTTAGGTTACAACCTGGATATTTTCGCATGAATGCCAAGTATAAGGATTCAGATCAGCAACTGAAGGCACAACAGCCATCAGTCTTGCCACTGCAATACTGAATGTCAAATACAAAATGTGTACAAGGCATAGCATGGATTGAACCAGTGAAGAACAGTATCAAGGCAATGATTCATCCAGCCCAGCACTGAGTTACACTGCCAGGCCTTGGGGAAGCCTTGCCCTGCTGGCAAGCATCTGGTACCAACTCCTGGTTTGCAATAGCTACGTCCTCCGACCAATTTAGCTGGCATATCCTGGAAGGTTCTAAAACTGTTATTCATAGATACCCATCTTAAAAAATGAAGAAGTATAGGTAATGGAACACTTCTTGATTATTGGCTTACTTGTGCAAAGGAACTAAAGGGCTATTTAAACAGCAAAAAGCCTTGTTGATCCCTTGGTTTATAAAGCTGTGATGTGATTCTTCAACCTGTAGAGAAGGTAGCCTCAGAAACAAGACAAGTATGTTATAGTTGCATCTCTGCCTTCTTACCTCCTCATAGTATTTACGTTCCTCCTCTTCCACTTCTTTTTGTGCTCTCTCCCATTCTTCCTTCAACTTGTCCTGCTCTTTCTGATACCTTTCCTGTAGAGAATTACAGTATAAGCTATTAAACAGAATTACAACTCATTGGCTCATTCAGTGTGAAACCCCATTTTCAATTCCCCTTCTTCCTTCATGAAACCCAGTTCAAATTTCCCCAGTATCTGGTTAAGCTGATCTCTCTACTCTTTCAAAAGCCTGCAAAACCTGAGTGGAGAATCCTCCACCACCACTACCAGAAAGCTTAACTGCACACCAGCCACATGGAACCTCCAGACTGTGGAGGTCCCTCCCTCGCCCACCAGCCTCTTCCTCAGGCCCTGCCCCTTTACTCAAAGCAGGACAAACACTCATCTTTAGTCACCAGCTGATTAAAGAGAAGAGACATTTCCTGCTGAGCACTGAAACTGCATCCCTACTGCCAGACAGAGTGGGGGGGGGGGGCACTTCAGCCAGCTGGTTTTTGGTGTCATAAAAGGGCAGGAAATTGTTACTTACAGGAGTCCTATTTGCCATGCAACCTCTGCCTCAGCCTGAAAACTGGCCTCTCTCTTGCACCCCACTACACCAGCCTGTACCATCTGTGTGTTCGTTTGCAAAAACATCTCCAATTATGGGGGACTCCTCCTAAAAACCAACATGCTCCAGGACTGTGTAAGACCTTTCTTCAGAAGGCTTGCTTCAAAAATGCTGTAGGCTAATTCAAATAGCTGTTACATAGGAATGTTTAAGAAATTCAGCCTTGAGCTAAGCTGATCTGCACTTCCTGCTTGGAACATAATCATCCTATGGATTTCACATGTCACTCAATTTTGCAATGCAGTCCCTGGCTCAAAAATACTTCTGAAATAAATTAAAATGCTTATTTTAGGATAAAAGCATTTGAAATGTGCATTTTGTAAAAAAATACAGTCAAAATATCCATTTAATGATCAACGCATACAAATTGTTGTATATTTTAAAAAACAAGTGCACGTAACTGCAGAAATGATTTAGAACAGACTTAAGAAAGAGCACATACCAAATTGATATGGATTGTGAGCAACCGATCTGACACCAATGGTGTGGTACCTTTATACATTTTAGTGGACACTATTTCATGCTGTTGCTTGTCTTTGGTTACTTTTATTAGTTCATCTGGTTTTGGGAAACTTCAGGCTTAGAGCTTTAGTGTGAAAGGGATCCTTGGGCATCTTGGAGGAAGGGCAAGGGTACAAACACAACAAAACACCCAGGAGCATAGAATTACCTGAAGCAAACGCTCCTGTTCTTGCTGCCATCGCTCTTGTCGCTTCCGCTCTTCTTCTGGATCCCAAGACCAGGAGCCAAAACGCTTAAAATAAGTTTACAGATACTGTCAAAGGCTAGCAGTGCATACCAGAAAACAATTATAAACATGGAAATGCATCTATGCTGCATTTAGTGGGAGCGGCTGAAAATCAACCAAGCCATTGCACAGGCACATCATCACAATCCAGTGAGCAGCTGTCTGTGGGCAAAACTAACACGAGCACAAATGTGTCCTGGATGCACATGTGCACTCCCACTGTTGTCATTGTGCCAAACATGAGTCCAGACACTTCTACATCAGTAGGAGGCAGCCTGGCAAAATTCAAAATTGGAGGGAAAGCTCTTCCCAGAGCATACACTGGTACCTCGGCTCATGAACGCCTTGGTTCACGACCAAATCGGGTCGCGAACAAAAATTTTATGAAAATTTTGACTTGGGTCGTGAACTCAGCATTGGGTGGCAACCAAGATCGCGGCCATCTCCCCACCCCGCCATTTTCATTTTCAGCATCAACACCAGTGTTTTTAAATGTGCAGCTCTACATTTTTTTTTCACACTGAATAAGCCAAATTCCGCAATATACTGTGGTCTGTGATAGGACACATACTTGTAGGTTTACAGTGAGGACAGAGGGAGGATGCAATCTCAGCCATCTCCCCCCCGCCACCCCCCCCCCCGCTGTGTTGCACCTGTCTTTCCTGCAGGAGCATGCCTGTTTTCACACACACCTTCCCTGCACAAATGCAACTGTGATCATGACCATCTCCCCACTCAGGGTGGGGGGTTGGGAGATGGCCGCGATCGTGCTGGCTGGGGGGGGGGGGTAGATGGTTGAGATTGTGCCCGTCTTTCCTGCAGGAGCACACCCGTGCTAGGATTACTTTAAGAAGTACCACCCCTACATAACTGTAACAAACAGAATGTTGAATCTGATGAACGATAACGTGGTCTCTCATTTCCAGAGGGTTATGCAGCACAGAAAAAGACAAGTGACTATAGACAGATTTTTCACCAAAATTGACCCTGCAGCTAAGGGACAAAGAAGAGAGGAAACCCCTGAAAGAGATCTCCCCAATGTCCTTATGGAGGGGGACTCTCCCTCAAAACAATAATCTCCCCCCCCTTCACCTAGGTTAGTGTTCTCCACTGTACTGTACAGTACTTTGTCACTTTGTTGTTCTTTGTCACTTTCTTTCAAATTTTTCTGATTAAAAAAATAGTTACAGAACAGATTAACCTTATTTATATTGAATCTTATGGGGAAATTTGACTTGGGTCACAACCAGTTTGGGTCACAACCTGAGTTGTGGAACAGATTAAGTTTGTGAGCCGGGGTACCACTGTATATGGAAAAAGACCACTTCTACTAGAAATTGCAACACATGAGGAAGAAGAAGCTGAAGCCACTGCAATGCCTCCATCCTCTGTTCCAGATGGGGTTGCTTGCCAATGCCTCTGGATGCAAAGGGCCTCTCCCCAGGTATGCCCTTAGTTTTCAGGGAGTCTATCTCCCCTGTCATGCTTACCCCCAGACAGCAGGAGCCGTCATAGCCTGGCTGGAGCATACTCCTCAGGTTTTAAAGGAGAACAAATGTGGTTTTGGGGTTTTTTTGGTGGGGGAGCCCAGGACACACACCTCCCCAAAGGACTAGTAGGCTCCAGACCAATGGTAGACCAACACACTGGGTTACCTGCTGCCTGCCAATTATTTATTAGATTTATATCCCACCTTTTTTCTTATTTAAAGAATGCAAAACGGTTTACATCATTCTCCTCCTCCTGCTCCCAATCTTCTCATAACAACAACCCTGTGAGGTAGGTCAGGCTGAGGGTCTGTGACTGGTACAAAGTCACCCACGTGGCTCCATGGCTGATTCACTGGCCTAGTTTTGTCTCTTGCTCCCTTAATGCAGACTTTAAACTTTCACTACATTCAATTGTTAATCCCGCATACAGTTTTATTAGATCTCAGTGAGAACAGATTCTGACTCAGGAAGCATTATTCACTCATTAACCCACATAGTTCCCACATACAGATGTTATTCACCCCTACCGGGTGCCATCTTTGGTAGGCAGCATTCTGATTATTCCCTTAAAGGTTTTCCAGATGTCCAAAACTTCAGGCTCATACCAGTCATGCATGTGAGCTTTCCTGGGAGTAGAAGGAATACTTTACACAACCACTTTCTCTTTGGTTTCACAAGTGGTGCTGCAGGATGTTGTGTGTGCCAGCAGAGCAATTTCTAGAGAGCAGTCTGAAAGCTCTCATGGGTCTAGCCCTTTTCTGATGCTATTGCTGTACTACAGTGGGACCGTTTCCACACAAGCAAATCTGCGTTGGAGATAACACCTTAGATCACCATCTAAGGTGATCTAACTGCACAGCCCCTAGGGAGACGCTGGAATAAGAATCCACTACAAATGAAAGTTTGCTGAAAATGGTACCTGGCAGCAGAAGCCAAGTATACAGGGATATTCTGGTACAACTTCTGCCTCGGGGAACTGGATCCTTGAAGGATCAAGATTATCCTGAGCACACTCTCACTCAAGATTTCCCTGAACAGACTCTTCCAGAGAATTCCTGTGAGAAGCCCCAACCCTTTCATGCAAATGCCAAAACCAAAAAGGCAACTTACATTTGACTTTTCACCATTATCAGGGTCAACTGCAGGGAGAAAAACAACTACAATTAAACTTTTCAAATTTCAAGTCAAGCAAGCATTTATTTTATTTACATACAGGTATTATACCACGTCTTTAAGCCAGAGTAGCTAACGCTTTAAAACTGGTGATTTAAAACAGCGATAGTCAGTGTTGGCTCCAGACTTTGAATGGGTGTGCATGTGTTGGGGGGAAACAGACTTGCCAAGATGCCCTCAGTGAGCCCATCTCCTTGAATGGACCTGCAGCCTTGCCAATGCCACTGCAATCCATTTGCTGGCCCTCCTTCTGAGCAAGACATGCCCAACCAGCTCAAAGAGAAGTGGGCACTCTTGCTTCTCCTCTCGGTGCTTGTCACTGCTCACATACCAGGGAAAGCACAGGGGAACAGAGAGCAACATCAAGGAAGAAGGCCAGGGGTTTTTGGAGGTCAGCTGTGGTAGCCCTGCTGGTGTGTAGCCCTTTGCAAGTGCCCAACGGTGCCCCTCCTGGATGCCAGCACTGGCTATCATCACATCATGTATCATCATGTATGAAATGCAACGAGTAGAAACGAGTGGGAAGACAAAGAGGCTGTCAAGATTCTATTTTGCTTTCTTCAATACTGTTCTTCATTGCTTTAAGGAAACCTGCTCATCAAACACAGAGACAGAACATACCCTCCACCAACAGAAGTGCCTTCTACACAGATGGAGTAAGAAGAATATTAGCATCAATCGACATTAGGGTCTACGCTTCTGCTACTTACAGTTGCTTTTGGCCACAGGCACTAGCAATAGCTGAATAGAACATGCTACTTCTAGGTTCTACTTTCCAGCTTTCCCTGTACTATACTACTGGGGAAAGGGAATATGCCATTCCAGCCCACAGTTACCAAGAGACATCTTGCCATTTCTGTGGAATGCATTTGATTGCAACAGTATACTCGTGTTCTAGGATGAGACTTGCATGGATAAAAGAGGCAATCACGTGATGTTCCATTTTACAAGGGGCGCAAGCTCTCTGACAACTATGCAACAGGAAAAGGCATTTTCTACAAAAGCAAGAAGAACAGACAAATACCAGCTTTTGTGCCAAATAACATTTAAAAAACACCTATGCAGTGTAGCAAAAGGAACACAGCCACACCCAAGGCCATCATTTACCTGACTGAGAGAAAAATTGGTAGCGCCGCCAGGAGTTCCGAACCTTAAGCGGAACACTGGCATTGTTGGGTGACTCTAGAGTGGATGGCAGAACAGAAACAAAACAAGAAATGCAACACTGTGAAAGCAAATCTGTGACCAGCAGAATAGCCAAGAGAGGAGATGATGAGCCAGTCCTGCTAGAAGGCTAGATAGCTGCAGTTTTCCATAGAGATCAACGGAGGGCATGTCTGGCAGTTTCCAGGGAATGCAAAAATGCTTTTTTTCCATGAGTCATAGAATTTTAATATGCTGCTTATGGAGTGTTTGTACATTTGTTGTGATGTTACTTCTTTATTCATATTTTGTAGCCCGCTGTAGGTCCATAATATTGGCAGAAAAGAAGGGTGGGAATAGAAATTAAGTAAAATAATCAATCAATCATTTTCGTAGTGTTTCTTTACAGCCAATGTTTATGGTGCGTATCCCATGCTACAGTCTACAACAGTCTTCTTCCCTTTCTTCTGTCAATGAAGTAATGACCCTGGAAAATGATACTTGCTTTTTCCAGAGACAGTTCTCATTCTGCTGGCTGCATGCTTCATTGCTGAATCAGGAGTAAGACTACTAAAGCAAGGCTGTGATCCAGGTTGCTGCTGTGGACTATGGTACATCACAACCCCACTGTGCTTAAATCACCACTGCCAACAATGACAGAATGGGGGGGGGTCTGTTTTAGTGTGCGGAGATACACTGCTGGCTCACAACCTGAGCAGGTGTGGTGCACTGGCTAAGCTACCACAGAAGGAATCATCTTTTGTACCTCACCTCACCTAGGAACTCATAGGGAGGCCTTAAACATGTCACACCTTTCTGTATTACTCTACCATCAGTTATATGGGGATAGTTACACTCCAATGTATGGGGCTGGTCTTAAAAAGAAAAGCATTTTAAGGTCTCCTGATGCAGAATGTGAAATTTAACTTTCCCTTTTTAAAAAATGTTATGCAACGTTGATCATGCATCCATTGTTGCATCAGTAACTTCATCAAAATAGCACCACTAAAATATATCAAGGCAACTTTCTGAAGAAAACAAACTAGACATTGAAGTGACAAAGATTATTTCCCCCCTATGAATGCTGTGCAAGTCTTTTCATTCTGACTATTATGTTGAAGGCTGGGCTGAAACATACACATCTAACCCAGCTCCCTGTTTGTTTACCTTGTGGGGCAGAATTCTGCAAAACGTCTTGACTCATCTCAGGGATCTTCTTAAGAAGGGAAAATGTTGTGCTTCCATCTTGTTCGGGAGTTTCCAAGGCCTCTACCTAGGCCAGTTTTTAAGAACAGAAACAGCATCAAGACAACAAGGCAGCAAGCAAAAGCAGCAAGCTTATCCCTTCCCAGTCTCTTTAGCATTATTTATGGTTGGTTCCCTGTTGAAATAACTTTGTTTGGGCCTTATCTGTTCTACAGGATTTCCAGGCTAAATTATATTTTTTTATTCATTCTTCAAGCGATGGTCTGTCTTTCCTATGTAAGTGGACATATTAAAATGTCTGACACAAAAGACAAAACACAAAGTTGCTTACATGAACAAAATTGTTTTGTTTATGAACAGCATAAATTGATGGTCTGCACAACAAAAATCTGGCAATGGCTGACGTAATTCACATTTGCCTTTTTGCCTCCTTCCTGGTGATCTTAAATCATCTATCTTCTCATCCCAATGCCTGTCCTGAGGATTTACTAGACTAAATTATCTGTTTTGCAAATAAAGTTTGTGTATCTCTCTACTGGATTTATTTGCAAGCTAAATGCCAGAAAACAGAATCTTCTTCTGTTTTTATGTGAAGAAGGGGTCCTCTCTGGAGAGGAGAAATATCTCCCTGTTGGAATGATAAATGAGTTCCTTTTTCAAATGATGGAAAGACGAAACACAAGCCAGCTATACAGTCTGCACTTCACCTCCTTCTCAGCAGGGCCGTCTTAACACATGGGCCTGATGGGCACTTGACCATGGGCCCCATACTAATCTGTGTATGTTAACCCTTGGAAAATTGGAAAACTTCCAAAATTAACCGTAGTTGTAGTTGTCGTAGGGGCCCCAGTACACTGCTTTGCCCGGCGACCCTAATGCTGTTAAGACAGCCCTGCTTCTCAGTCATTTGCTTCAGTGGATTATGATACCTTTTGGATAATAGGTGCTTCTTCACCCATCTGTTGCCGGGTTTCAGATTTCTTCAGCTCATCATCTGAACCTATCTCCTTGGAATGATTACTGAAAGAAGAGAACTCCATGCTGGCCACTGTCGAGTTGGCACAGGGAATTGCTGTGCTGAGTTCTTTATGATCTGAAGCTAGAAAGCAAAAAGAAGGGAAGCAGCAGGAGTAGGGGAAGAAAAGTTAAAAAATCAAGCACAATATTTAAATAAGAAAAAAGATATTGTACAGCTGCACAGATGACTAATAAAGACAGAGAAAAGACGGCGTGGGTGATGGTCAATGTCTCTAGAAGGCAGCAAGACTGCAGAAACTAATAGTGATAAATAGAATTGAAGCCTCTAATTATAAAACAATTTAAAATGTTCAATGGACTAAGATTGGAACCATCTAACAGAATTGTCTCCCACCGTAGTTTACAATTAATCTTTACAGCAGGAGAAGAAGTGGCCTGTTCATGTATGAAGGAACCTGTCTGCATAACTACAGCTCACACTAGGGGAAGAAGTGTGAACTCATCCAAGGACTTAGGCCTCTAGATGAGCCCCATGGTAAAGAGGACAGAATCCGAGGCCTAGGTGAGCCAGCTCAGATTTGGAAACATGCAATAGTTTGACTACCTTTAAAAACAAGAACAAACCTGGGGATGGTCTTTCCGAATCAGCTTTGTCTTGTTGGTTGGCTGGTTCAGCTTCTTCAGTCAGGGAGCCCTGCAGAGAACATTATACCACTGTCAAACTCGAAGTGGAATAGCTCCAATCTGTGTGATTCTCATTGGGCAGCAGCGGCAAATATTTTTTGAATTCAGAGTAGGCGGGAAGTTAAGGAAATCACTTTAAAACCCCATTAGACTGCTCCACTACTAATATGTTTGAGAGCTATACTAGTGAACTGAGCTATACTAGTGAACTGATTCCTACTCACCTGACCCCTAAATAAATGAATGTGCAAGAACCAGTCTACCTTGTTCTCATTTCTCTGCTTAAATATTCTGATCAAACCCTAACAGGAGGTCTGTGTCACTGGTGGGCACCTATCACTCCTCATTTGGTGGGAGGTACCATGAAAAGGGTTTGGAAAGATGACTTCAGCATCTGGAATGGTATATGTGAGAGGAAGCAATCCTTCAGATTACTTGTCCCCCAGGCAGTTTATGGCTTCAAAGGTTGATACAAAGCACAAACAAATGGTAAGCCAGTGCAGTTGACAAAACACTAGAACCTGTGTGCTGTTACTTATATTGTCATCTGAAAATGTGCAGGTGAACAAATAGTTTATTCAAGATTTAAAATAAGTTGTTTCTGTTTTGCAATCGCTCCCTAAACTGTTTTCCAAATCAAACATTTATGTAACACAAAAAGATGCACCAGTGCATATTATCAGCAGTGGATTTTTGAAAAATATATTAAGACAGCCCATTCCTGTGTCATCATTCAGACTGCAAAAGCTGTACCAGTTTAAACATAATCATACACAAGGAGAAAAGTTTTATATATGGCAAAAAGTTTGTGGCTGTCAATATGCCAGGCACAGCATGATCTGAGCAACATTTTAAGCCTGTTAAAGTTCCGGGGATCATTAAAAGAATTATGTGATTAGTTTTATAGTTTGGGCAAATTACTACTATGGCCTGTGACCCATTTTGTTCTGATTTATTAAGGACTGTAAACCACCTAAGCAAGATTAGAGCTAACATATATATTTAGTGGACCACATCACTTGGAAACAATCAATCTCCTTTATGTAAGAAACAATTCCATTTCTAAAAACTGCAATGCTGTGAAGTCAAAGGCATGTTTTAAAAGTTCAGCAGGGGAGAGGAGGAAATACAGATGCCTAAATCAGCTTGACCAAGGATGAAAATTAGAAATCAGTGGATAGAGAGATACCCAGAAAGAGCAGCTTCCATGAATACCATTCCAATAGCAGGAAGCCACAGTAACCTGGTCGTATACATTACATTGTAGGCCACCTTATGAAAGTAACCAGTAAAGAATACACATAACATAATGTCTTCTGCAAGTCTATGCTGCTATTTATTAAATTTATAAACTGCACCAACAGTCCTATACAGCACTCTCTGGGCAGTGAACAATTTGAAACTTGCACAAAGGTCTGATTTACCAAAATTTCATTGCATGAATGGTAATTCATACTCATGTAGTAGATGTCAAGGTTATTTTGATATGTCCTGGTACATGTATTGTGCACCAACATTTCTTCACCTGTGTATGTGTGTACAAGGAGTGGGGGGTAACAAGGTAAACAAGGACTGTAACTCATAGTTGGACACATTCATAAAAGTATGCACCTAGGGAAAATCACATTAAATATATCCTCTGGCTCATAACATGTGAGCAAGGGGAAATTTTCAGTTTAGCAGAATGCAGACACAATGATAGCATTACAACTAGTTCGTATTTTTGATTTAACTACTTCAGGGGTGTTGAATCTTTGTCCCATGGGCCAAATCTGGTCCACCTGGAGTCCAAATCTGGCCACTTTAAGTTCCACAAAAGGTCATACCTCTTACCCATGTTCTCACCTCCTTTTCCCCCAACCTCTGAATATTTGGTGCTTTACCAAGTTTTGGTGCATTTGCCTCACTAAAATGCCTCCCCTAAGGCTAAGGTACGGGCAGTAAGAGTTGAAAGCTAAAATAAGCTGGCATTTCTGGTATTCTGACACTGCTCCATTTGTCCTTGTCCCCACACGTTTGGCCTCAGTCTCATTGATTCATCCATGCATTTATTGGAATGCAACTTCCGAGAGCTTCTCCAAAGCTTCTCCATTTGGGCCTCTGGCTGAAAGAGATTTGATACCCTTGATCTAGACGTTGGGTGGACTTAGCATTCACATGGCCATCCAACAAGAAGCAAGCCTGCACGAATGCTAAGAAAGGGGTGTCCCTCTTTCACGCATGTGATGTGTAGCCTTTGTTTGTGCCCCACATGCACAAGGAAGAAGGTTACCCAACCAGGCTTTGGTGAGCATTTGTGGTCTTCCTCTTGGCTTACTTGCTTCCTAAGCAAGGGCCAAGCATGAGAAGAAGTCCAATGGATGGGAGAGGAATGGATTTCCTGGAGGACCGTCACAACTTTACCAACGGGTCAGTCACAACCCACATTCAACCCTTGAATGTGCATTATCATGTTGTCTGAACCCAGTCATTGATCCAGTTGTGCTTGGCTAGTTAGCTGTATGAGAGGCAATCTTGTATAAAGGAATAATATGGCTGAATTATAAATAAGCATATAGCTTTACAATTTACTTGTATTTTTCAGTTGAAATACAAGTGAAAAATGACCCTGTTCATTACAATGCAGCTCTGTGTTCAGGTAAGTGACTGCGGGGTGAAAGGGCTACTATGGGATATACAAAACTGTAGATAAGATCAGTACTCATTTGTGAGAACAGCCTGACACACAGAAAGCCCATCCCATAGAGCACAAAATAGGCATCTCTATAGCCAGGGAGAAACTGGGTGTCATACTGAGAGGCAATTGTTGCCAGAATGGTAAGCCTCCTCTTGTTTTCCTGTATTATTTAATTTTTGAGATGGACAAGAAAACTACATCCCATTTTGCTCTGCCCCCTCACAGGGGCAGCCAGGAAGATGGCACAGAGCAAGGGCAGGACAAGCTAGGAAGAGAAGATTGTCCTATTATCATGGTACTGAATGTAACAGGGGAACGTTATGGCCCTGGAAACAATGTTATTGTTTTCAGGATAAGTGGCTCATGGTCCAGTTTTGCCCTAATTGGGGATGTTTGAGGATTTGGGGCAATCTGTATTTGGAAGCAAACCAACTTGATGCACACTTCCTAGACTACTATGTGGATTAGAAGACACTATCCTTCAGTCTTTACACGTCTTTAAATTTTGTGCTGTAGTTCTTGATCCAAAAATGCACCAAAATGCATATAAAATGCATATTTTAGGATAAAGTAAGTTTAGAAATGCGTATTTTGAAAGAAAAACATACTTAAATATAATACTTAAGAAATACATAAGTATTATATTTAAACACATATATGAATATATTTAAACACATATGTGAATACATATAATATACATAATTTAAATATGACTTTTCATGAAGATTTTTCTAAAATTAGAAATGAATGTTGAAACGGGATAGAACAGCCTTATGACCAAATTGTGAAAGTGACATGGATCAGAAACAGATTGACCTCTCCATCCCTAAATGTAAAATACCAACAAAAAGAAGGAAAAACATTTTTACAACTGAGGCAGAGGATGACAAGATGCTAAAATTTATCCAAAGAACACCAAATGCAAAACATAAAGTTTAAAATAGGTTTGCTTTCCAAATGCAGAAATATTTAAGTAGTGAGTAGGGATGCATAAGAAATTTCTTTTAGTTCATTTTGATCAGGATTTATCTACCCCTTCCAGATGGAGCATATGCAGACCCATTTCCAAACTTGCAATGTTTCATGCTTTGATCCATGGGAGAAGATAGTGTCTGTTTCAAAGATGTGTGCAATTGCTGCATTCATTTGGGAAAAAAATTACTCCTAAATATGCACAGATTTTCATGTGAACATAAGAAACCCTTGCAATCTGATAAGGACTCACATCAAAAATAAGCTTTAAGATGCATTTTAGAATACTTCGGGGAGCTCAGGTTTTACTGATCCGAACAGACCTAGTAGCAAACGGTATGGGGCTTTCTTGAAAACCGCACATTTGTGCAAAATGGATGCTTGAAGTTAAGCAACTTTTTGTTACTGACTGGGGAAGTTTTCCCTGCTATGTGGGAGCCACTTATCTGCCATCAACTTGTGGCTACATCCATATTATCTGATTTGATTTTAGATCATTTCATCCCATCCTTCAACCACATTCCTGCGACAACTGTCAAAAATCAAGAATGGAACATATGGTAAAAATAGACCAAACATATTTTTTACATTACCTGAAAAATTATTTAACCAGCAGGAGGAGCCCACTGCACAATTCTTTTCCCAAAACTGGCATCCTGCATCAAAGAGACAGGCAATCTGTCCCATTCAAGGAACAGACTATTCAAATGTTATCCCAGCTGGTGGGATCTGCTCACAAATATGTGGCTGCTACATGGCAGGAGGAGATTTAAGGAAAACATGAAATATATTACAAAAGAAAATTCAAAAGCCTTGGTCCACCCAAAAGGTCAGTGTGGGGTACTGGTCAAGGGCACAGGACTGGGACTCAGGTGATCTGGGTTCTGATCCCCACTGAGCCATGGAGCCAACAGGGTGACTTTGGGCCAGTCACCAACTCTCAGGCTAACCTACTTCACAGGGCTGTTGCTGTGGGGATAAGAGTGAAAGCAGGAGGAAGAGAAGGATGTAAGCCACTTTAAGAAAGAAGAGGGATCTAAATCTAATCAATCAATAAAATAATAGAAGTCAGCCCAGTTGTTTTCTCCTTACGGTCTGCTCTTTGCGTACGCTGTGTTCAATGAGCCTCTTGAGAACAATCTCTGTACTAGTGGAGCCCTGCTTCCCATCCGCCAAGGTGCCGTCCACATCAACCACACTGTCAGACTTTGGTGATCGGCTTGGTGAAGGGACAAATATTAATGCTGTGCATTCTCTTGTGCGCTCCTCTTCCACTCCGTTGGCGGTTTCTCCATTCATGCTGACTTTACCATCCACCTGCAGGGTACAGTTTCAAAACAAAGTGTATGATGTGAAATTAAAAGATCCAAGGCAAACATTATTATTATTTCTGTGACAAAAGAGTTGAATGCATTTTCCAGCATATCTGTCTGCTGTGCAGCCTAACATATAGAAACACTTCTTCCAGACCTAGTCAGGTAATTTTCATGTTTTATAGTACAGCAAGCATTCATTTCTGAATATGTCTTGCTCTAGTTGTTCATATTCCTTCCCTAGCCTCTGCCTCCCCCGTACCCACTGTCTCTTCCTCTTCTAAAGTTTAGATTTACGCTCCATTGAGGAGGGACCTATTTTTTTGCTTATACAGGGGTAAGGAACCTGTGGTCCTCCAGATGTTGTTGGACTCAAACACCCATCAACTCTAGCAAGGATGGCCAATGCTTAGGAATGGTGGGAGTTGCAGGAGGGCTGCCGGTTTCCCACCTTTATGGACTAAGTGCTGTGGACACCTAAGCATGGCAACAATGAATGCCTGCAATCTAATTAATGGCATCTTAGTTGACTGATCAGATTGCTTAATTTCTATTAATAAATCTTCCTAAATTGACTTAGGGATAATCATTCTAAAGAAAACACATTCTCATAGCAGACACCTTCTTAGACTAGGCACCCTCCTATGTGTGAAAGAAGGGGGATGCTTTTTTTTCTTTCTTTTCTTTTATTTACATTGATGCCTGCAGCATTCTGTGGAGTCTGTAGGGACTTTTAGAAAATAATCTGATTTTTAAAAAAAAATATCTGCTGAACTATATCAGGGTATTTTTTAATTTGCTATTTGATGTTAAACTGATTAAGCAATATATTATAGACTACAGCAAGATATTAATAATACAAATTAATAGAAGCAGCTATACTTAAAAGAGGATCCCCTTCTGTTGCATGCTACTGCTGATTCATACAATTCATCCTACCTTAAATGTTCTGAAAACCTGCTGCGTGTTTCTGGGCTGTGAGTAAGGCTTGGGTGTCAGCATAGGCACAGCCTTGGAGACAAAAGGTTTGCTTGGAGACGTGCGGCCTGTGGAAACACTGGCTTCTGGTCCACTGGTGGGAGCAATGGTTGCCTCAACCTTGGCAGTGTATTTGGGAGCAGGGAGTGACTGCTGCCGCAAGTATCTCAGGGGGTTTGGATCCTTAGGAGGGGATGATGAATTTGGCTCAGCTGAATGGCTTCTCTCCAGCAGTTTTGGCATCTCCAAGCGTTCAAGGACAGCTTCACTAATGGTGAATCTCTCAATGTATTGTTGGAGAATACTGTCTGCCTCCTCACGTGACCTGGCATTTTTGTAAGCTTCATGCAGCTCTCTCTCTCGCCTCTCCCTGTTTCAGGAATAACAGAAGTAGGATCGCAAAACCATAGATCTCACGCACAAATGAGCATTCATACAAAAGAAGGAAAGCCCTGCTCGCTTCCTGTTTGCATTAAGTCTGGACAAAAGCGCATCCCATCTTTACACCACTGTTCAGCCAGTTTGCTTAACACTGTTTCTTCACTATCAGGAGAAGCACAGGGCCCTGTCATTGCTGGCTTGATGGTTCTTCAACCTGCAGGTTGGAACGCTGCCCTCCCCATAAAAAATGCACCCTGCTAGCAGAAAACTCTCAGGTTAAAGAGCAATTTAGGTTGACTCCTTTCTTCAGATGTGCTGTTCGAACACACAGACTCCTCTCTGCCTCTGCCCTGCCCTCACATCCTGGCAATCCAAAGTGGCATCTTCTGGGAAAAGCTTTGCCATGTGATTCTACCAATTATGTTAAAGATCATGGGCTGATCATTATCCTGCTATGTGTCCTACTATACAATGCACCAGGTGCCTCCCCCAGTGTGTCCTGTTTTGCCCCCCTAAGATTTATGTAACCCAGTCTCATTAGGATAACCTACTTCTCTTCCACAATTTCTCTGTATGTCTTGATGCTTTTCCTTCGCTCGCTAGCTCCGTCAGCACCAGAAAGTAATCGTTCCATCTTCTTTCTCTCAGCTTCTTTTTTCAGTAAATCTTGTGAAGCACTTCTCCGACGACTTTTCCACCGGGCTAAATCCTGCAATGAGATGAAGTGAAGAGAGAAGAACCTTCACTACTATGCATAAGACTGAAAACCAACTCTGTGAAATATTTTCAGTAATTTGCCTCCAACAGATGAATCCAGGAATCACAAGTGCTTCCCAATCTATGGATATTTATGGCAGAAATATCACTGCCACCATTTCATTTTGTGTTGTTTTGAATTTATATATGAAAGGAAGATTAAGAGGGTGACCAGAAGGAGATGGGCTCTGTACCTACATTTCTGTAAGTATTTAAAGCACTTCAGATGATCCTTATGGCAAACTTGTGAATTAGATTACCATATATACTTGGCATATAAGATGACCCTTGAAACTGAAAATAATACCGTAAAAATTGGGAGCATCTTATACACCCAACATATATAAACAGGCCAAAGTAATGACCTTGCTTTATATGCAAGTTCCCTTATATGCCAATATATGGGTATTTTTGTGAAACAGGGAATATAATCTCATGTTCTATACATGATTACTGCATATATCAGTGTATCAAATGACCCTTAAAACAAAAAATTGTGATGCAAAACCTGGGGGGTATCTTATATGCCTGACATTTGACAAATACCAGAAAAATTGCCCAAAATATCTACCTTGCCATATATATGAGCCACCTTATATGCCAGTACACACAGCAATAGCATCATAATCTCCTCAGGTTGCACGATGAGGGTGAATGGCGTACTGTATATATGGCCACTTAGCAATTTCATGGCAGAGGCAACATTTGAGTCAAAGACCTCCTGGTTCACAAGCATGCAGCATCACTAAGAGGGAATTAGAACCCAGGCTTCCTTGGACCAAATCCACCACTCTATCCCCCACTCCAGTTGTGCGCCAGCTCTTTTACCACTGAGGAGTTACATCAAAATAAACCAAATGGGAGGACTGTGACAAAGACTGAAGAATGTGGGAGTGCATGTTTAAAAAAACACTTCAGCTCACAGATTTGAATTCACAATGTCACGGTGGCAGCGGCTATCATCATCATGATTAATGCCGCCATTTCTTCAAACGACTCAGGGCCCCTAAGAGATCCCCCTTGTGTCCTTATAGCAATCCAATCCATAGCCAATGGTGTTGTTCTCATACTTGTCAAATATACTCCAAAATAATGAAGAAGCTGGTGCTCATTGGTACCACAAAATCCTGCGGCTTGACAGAAGCTGCTCTGCCATTCCCGGAAGGCCAGCCCTGCAGACATGCTCTCAAGTGAATGGAAGGCGCACAGCGGCAGTGCACAGTGGACTATGCTTTGCACCACTCTGATGCATGACGCTTCTTGCAATGGTCATGTGTCCTAATTTAACAACACAGAGAGCCTGTTCACAACTCACAACAGCACACTGTGATTATAATTTACCCACCATGTGGCTGTTGCTTTGTGGCGAATTCCTGGCTGGCTGTGGTTTGTCATGTCATACACACCCAGGTAGCTATAATCCTTTCAGGGTTAGGCAACCTTCAACTTAGCCTAAATCAAGCAATAGATTATTTGAGGGTTATGTGACCCTAAACCACCCCCTGCTGCTTGGGTTCACATGCCACAGCAATATGCAGTAGTACTCGACTTCCTTCACATGATCATACTCTGGCTTGCTCATGCCAAAAACCACATGCCCAAAATTATACATCTCAGTGTCTACAGAGGTTTGCTGTGCCTATAATCTTACTGTTTTGATTTCACACATGTTTAGCTCTGTGTGGTCATAGGTATATGCTAGCAACTTTGTGCACTGCAATCAGTTTAGTTACTTGTCGCATATATATAAAAAATCATTTATATTACAACCACAATCGTGTACACAAAAAGTGCCCCCTCTCCAAAGCTTTGTCAATGTTTCTTTGACAAATCACTCTTTCAATGTTTTGATTCTGTGACATTTTAGTAGAATACTTTTTTAAAGAACAGAAAAAATCAAATGCAATGGAAAGAGAAATCTGTAGAGAAAAAACACATTAATGGTGGAAAAATACAAGCAGATATGTAATATATGCTTGTTTTTGTAACCAAGTATACAATAGGCAATTTCTACAAAGAAAGCTGCTAGGCTCAAAGCAACTTTGCAAAGAACAAGATCCCCATTAGGGACAGAGAATTCCTGGCAAGACAGGATGGCTGCTCTTTGGGCCTGCAGACCAAAAACCCTTCATGTGTTCAAGTAGTGTTGCTAAGTTGTATAATACTTAAGAAAAACAGAACTTTGGAAGGCATGTTTTGGGAGTGCCTCTGTAACAACTCTGAGGTCTGCAGATGCGTCCAGACAAAGCTTTTATAGCATCCTTGCTATGCCTCATTCACTGATATTTAGAGGGGTCCAGATGACCTCATTTCCACTTGTAAAGCTCCTGCATTTCTTCAATGCTACCATCCTTTCCCTTTCAGTAGAAAATCCATTATGGGGGAAAAAAGAGAACTGGAGCATGCTACTATTTTTGGGATAATGCTCAGCATCCTCCATCTGGAGGCACGTTCATACTCACATCCTGCCATCGATCTTCGTCTTCCTTCAGCTGGTTGTGAATCGTCTGCAGCTTTTCATGACGTGCCTTGCTGTGAGGCTGCATCACAGCAGCTTCATCGGCACATCTCATGTCAAACATACTCACACTCCTAAGAGGAAAGGAACAGTGGAACAATAAGCAACAGACCTTGAACATTTCAGCCACAGGAGGGGGCTAGAGAAAGCTGAAATGCATCTTCTAAAGAAAGCGCTGAAGTCTGAAATCACACAGGGCAAGGTGGCTTTGGATGTATGCCTGCCACATCCAAAAACCTCTGTATGTTTATGGTATGTGTAAGCGCTCAGCACCAGCCATACCAATGCGTGTGCGAGTGGCCTGCTTCAGGTGCAATCAAAAACATGCTGCAAAAGGAAGATATGGAGGCATGACTAAAGTCACTCCTTTCTTGACATCTAATACAAGTTCAAACAGAGTCCCATACTTGTATCAGAGTGAAATTTCTCAGCTGTCCCTTGTTTAATAAAAACCATCAATGCATCAACTATGTCAGTGTTTTTAAAACTGTATTCAGGAGAACCTCTGTTGTTCCCTGAAAGTTTATCAATGAGTTCAATCATGGCAGTAAAATTTGCCTGATGGGTTATCTCAGTCACCTCTACTGACCTTAAATTGCAACGTGCAGTCAAAGGAATGGGCTGAATGCAGTTTAAGAACACCCACAGTTTAAGTGGCTTCCCTTCCTTCATTAGTTTGTTAGCCAACATTAAGCTCAATTCTTCAGGTTTGGATGTACTGGGAAACTCTGGTTTAATAAATCCAAGATCCTACTACTGAAGTTAGAGGGCAACAAGAGAAGAAGGACAAGGGAAGAACATTCAGCAGCAATGATTGTTCCTGGCTTCATAAATTGTGCTTTATAAAGCCTGGAATGATGATCCAAACCAGAGCAGGAACTAATAACACATCTGGCTCGTGTTCCACTGAACCAAGTTATGTCCACTAGAATATAGCCTGGAATCCTCTGCAACACACAGGGATTCCATGGCAGATGTGGGAAGTGCTTCCAAAAACTTTGAAAACCATGTTGCTAAACTTTAGATATGAAAGGAACTTGAATGTAAATATCCAAAGTTTACTGAAAATCAATTTTCTGATACAACGGAAGTGAGACATCAGAGACCACTGAAAGGGACAGATCAGCCTGTTCTGCAGATAAAAATGCAATGCTGTGAAAGCCATCCCTAATGAGCGCACATGCATAGCGAATGGTCATTTGACTTCACTGTTATTTTGTTAAAAATGAAACCCTCAAAGCATTACTGACACTGATTAATATACAATTATATGATAAGTAACAGGAATTCTGTTTCATGATGCTATCTTTTGCATGAAGTTAGAGGCTATTTAACGTTAGGCAAGATAAAATCTCACAAAGCACCATACACAGTACAACAATTCAAAGGCAATATATACCAATGGTTACTTCTCAGTAAAAATTATTAACTGCAGATCATGCACCATATTTCTATTTGCCTTCTGATGGTAATATAGGTTAATTTTATGAATGCAACTAAGGAAATCAGTGTCATTGTGATCCTTATCTGAACAGGATCAACTCTGGTTTGATGAAGCTAACTGCAGAGCACCTCTAGGGAATTTCATTATGGCCACTGAACTTGATATACTAAAAAGATATATTTGGGGCTACTATTATTTCCAAGACCAAGGACACCCTAACCCCTTCCTGCAGCTACTGCCATTTTGTTGCAAGTAAGAAGGGCAGCAATGAATAATCATATCAAAGGACCTGATGGTACAGAAGCTCTTCTACGTTGTCACTTTGGATGCTACTTTTCTATGAACCCTCACTGATAACTACTATTATGGAAAACTATAATCCAATTTGTTTCTTCTTGCTTCTGGTGGTTCCTTCAACAGAATTACTGAATGTTACAAGAAAATGGGTTGGCCACCGGAAATGGCATATCTGTGTCACCGTTCCACTTTCCCTCTGCTACATCTTGTTCAACATATGCATGTCCTTGCCTCTGCACTGTCTGCTGTTGCTGGGTGTGGGGAAACACAGATCCTAATGACATCAAGGCACGGAGTAAATTAAGCTAGAAGTTATGAAAGGAAAGATGATGTTACAAGAAGGCTGCTGATTCGAGCAGTATCCACCCGCCCCTTTTGGGTAATGTGTTAGTTCCTTCCTTAATCCAAAGTGGGTCTGAGTCATGATGGTCACTGCCAAGTCAATGAAATTAGCAGGATCAATACAGATGGGAATCAACTCGCAGTAATAAAAACACTACTAAAAGACCCACTAAAATCCAAATGAGGTGACCCATTCAAGGGCTTTTCTAAGCAGCTCATACATCACTTGGATTCTTCACTCAGTGATCAGTCTAGTTCAGCCTTCCCCATCCTGTTCTTCTCCAGATATTTTAAACTTGAACTGCCATCAGCTCCAGCCAGTCATGAATTCTAAGTTGTCATCCACAACCTCTGGAGAGTTTCAGGTTGAAGAAGACTGGTGCATGGTAGCAACAGATGCAGCCATCCTGGCTTGATACAATTCCATTACAGTCACACAAAAAAAAATGTAAAAAAGGAAGGAATTTAGAGTAAAGATGGAACCACACATTACAATAGATGACAAAAGCAGCAGCCCTACATCCTCTCTCACCCCAACGAAATTCAGTCAGTCAGAATGTGCGATATGATGTCACCACGTTTTGGGGTGAGAGAGGAAGAGCAGGATTGCTGTTTTGCATTGGCCCCATGTCACATATGAAATAGAGTTTCAGCCTGGCTCTTCCAAGGAAAGAGCTGCATGCCTGTTTCTACCAGTTAGTCTGGTACTAATCTAATATTCTGACCAAAAATACCCATTTGTAGTTTTGCCTGGATCTAAACATTTGAATACTAAAAATTTATTCCTAATAAATTACTGTTATTTCAGTTCCATTGCTAGCTTGCTATTAAAGTAGTTCATGCACTTAGAATGGCTGGTTTCTAACTGCACTTAAATAGCTGGTTTTTGAAGGAAAAAACAGTATCTGTCAAAAATCTGTGAGGTGATAATTGTGTGGCTGTATTATAGCTTTAAATCTTGTAAAGCAGATGCAAGACAAGCTGGTGCCCTTCAGGTATTTTGGACTTGCAACCTTGGCCTTTCATTATTCTGTCCTGGATTTATGGGGGTTGTAGTCATTTCCCGATGGTTCTATGTGTGAGTCAACATACTCAAATTGGTATATAGCCAATTCAAGCATGCAGTGTAGAATAGTTGTCTGGTTCCATCTACCAGCTTCTACTATAACCTCAGACATTACACAGTGAGTCTGTATAGAAATGACTTGCTTGGAAGACTGGGACCATTTCAGCATCACCTGAATTATGCCCTAGAGGCCTGAAGCATGCTATTTCTTGTCACAGAGCCAAGCTACATGTTCTACTAACCATGCAGTGTTCAGACTTCGCTCTTTAACTCTAGTGTAACCAGATGTAGCCCTGATTCTGACCAGGACCACTGCACTCTGGGATAGAAAAACTAAAGGAAAACATCTTCACTGGTGTCCATGGAGCCCTTTCTCCTTCTGCCAACATGTCTATGGTGGCAGTGGGAATTTCAGTAAGAAAACAGTGGGGGGAAAGGGTCAGTCTTTTTCTCCTGGAGTGCAGTGGTCCCAATCCAAATCAGAGCTCGCCATGCTTACTAGAGGAAAAAGAAACAAACAAACATGATACCCTCAGTTACATGCTGTGTAATTAGCACAGTATGCAATTTGATGCTTAACGCACCTTTCCAACAAAATCAAGGAGGAGGGGGGCTGTAATTAAATTCACATGTCCAAGTACATTACAGAAATCTTTCTTGTGTCTTGCCTTTCTTTTCTTTGCTAACCCCAACCCTTTACATCAATGTGATAGTACAGGAATGCAATTAAACACTGAGGAGTTTTATTTAAAAAAACAAAATCAAAAATTGTCTCTTTCCTTTGGAACACGTTAAATGATGTTAGTAAAGTATAGCAGAATTTTATTTTAATGAACTAAGTCTCCTTCTAAAATATTTTCAAGTGACAAGACAGAAACCCAATGGGCTTTATTAGTTGACATAATAGGTTCCGTTCAGGAAAACAAATTGGATGCAAAAGGGTAACTAATTTGATGACTGCCCGCTCACAGGTAAACCACACTGAGTCCAATGGGGTTTACTCCCAAATTATTCTGCTCAGGATTGCACCCTAAGTGTCAGGGCCACCAGACTAGGGAAATGAGCACCAACTCACAAATCTAAACTCAGAACTAAGGTTCCACAGCCCAGAAGTCTCCAAGCCTTAGGTACCCTTACCCAGTTCAGCACCTTCCAGATATTTTTGGCTGCGGATCCCAGCATTCTGAACTTCTAAAGGGTGATGAAAGGAGATGCAATCTAAGCCATTTGGAGGATGCCAGACTGCCTGAGCCTCTATGATCACAGTTGTTGGTACTGTGATCTAGAACCAAACAAGGTTTTGAAAAGGACCTTGAAAAGCAAGCAGCAGAAAATCCATCCCTACTGAATGTGCATCACCAGAAGGCTAGGGGCCTCCTGATAATTAAAGATGTTCCCAATCCTTATAATGGTACTATCCCAATGACAAGTTTGATATAGGGTTGTCAATCAGAGCGTCCGTACATCAATTTATGATCCCCTCCTAGAGGGCTCTGAGATCTTTTCCACCCATTGCCGTAGAAGCTAATGTAAATTAGCTCCTACAGGCCAGCAAGCTCTGATATTCCTGGTTTCATTCCCTGACAATGAGAAGGTGTTTTAAAAGACTAGGTCTGGACATTCGCCACAAAAAGCAAACTGCATTTCATATGGAATGCTGTGTTCCTTCCTTCCTAAAAAAAGCTTAGCAGCAACAACAAACAGCATGCCCATAAGGGTGCCAATCTGAGCAGAGGAAAGCAGGACAGGGAGAGGCTGTGAAATCTTTCCTCTTAGGGTGCAATCCTATGCGTGCTTTGCCTGAAAAAATATCCTACAATTCTCAGCATGCCCCAGCCAGGAAATTATAGGATTTATCGCTGGAAATTATAGGAGGTTTTTTTCTGTCGATGCATGGGATTACACCCTTAAACTTTTTTACTTTCCCAGCTTAAATATGCCCTCCTTTTTCCTCCCAGTGGGGTGAAACAATATTGGAACCCCACATTTTCCCTAACAGGTGGGGCAAAACAGCTTGGGAGACTAAGTTTTGAGCAGACTAAAAGGCAGGAAGGAGAGAGGAGAGCACACACACCACCCCCACCATTCTCAGTTTGCAGCCCCTCCTGAAGCTACTTTTAAAAGAAATGTTTGGGGAAAAAAGCTGGGGCAAGGAAAACAAAAGTGAGTCAAGGCCAATTTAACTGAGCTTTGGCATTTGAATTTCAACTAGTTCTGAGACACAACCTTGCTCCCTCTTTCTACTGCTTGACATTCTTAACTGTGCTGCACTTATACGGGCCTTCCATAGTTCTAATTCCAGCTCAATTTAGTCACAGCAGCTGAGTGGCCCTACAGATTGCAAAAGAGGATCACATCACCAATTAGTGAGGGTCAGCTTTTCCAGCAATAATTACATGCTTTGCTTTCTGAAAAGTTATTACCTTAATGCAACAGAGCACATATCATCAGCACAGTGTATGTCAAAGCACATGTAGTTCAAAGCTTTGCACCAGAAGGATGAAAAGTAATAGCGGTACATCAACTGTATTTTAAATTAGTAATAAGTATGGAAGGCATGCAGCTTAAATTTCTTAAAGCAACCCCAATGAGCACATGACAACTTACTCTGCGTCATCAGACACAGGAGTTCTGGAGCCGAATCTATAAAACCAAATATAAAATTAGAGGAGCTTGAGGGGGCAGGAAAAGAGAGGGCATCAAGTACAGTGGAAGGAAAGAAATGTAACTAGCACAAAAGGAGATGGGCTTTCCTTTGAAGCCAATCTTCATCGGTCAAAGAGAGCTGGAAAAGCATTGACATTTCAAAGCACCTCATATGGGACACATTTTAATTCTTCACACCACAGCAACAATGGTTTTTAGAACTAATTTTTAGATCTGCTTTCAAATTTCACAACACCGTGGCAGTGAGTCACCCTGTGGAACTGAGTGCAACAAGTCCTTCCTCACAGGAGCTGATGTGAAAAGCAACACTTACAGGTGAGCATCAGATTCAGTTAGCAAACGCATGTTACATTGTACATAACCCAAATTCATTCAAAAGCCAAACAGCCTTAGAAGAGAGTAAATGAAGAGTCTCTCCTGCTACTAATCTTTTCCCCTCAAAGTTTTATTCTGTAACTTGTTCAATCCAGAAAGCAAGGAAGCCCATGAGTCTTATGTGGGCTCTCTATCCATTGCAGATTTTATTTTGAAATGTATAGGTGTCCTCCATGATGGTTGGGATTCAGCACCATGGATAGCTGAGATAAAAGCTGCAATGGGTCTGGAACCCCACTGGTGCAGGAGTAATTGGCTTCCCCTGCCTCCAAGTGAATATATAACCAGGATTTATTCTGGCAGTTTGTAAGCCATGGTTCCATTTCATTTGGCAGAAATAAACTTGTTAAATCTGAGAAAATAATAGCCATTTACATTTCATGTGAAATTCTCAAAGAATACTTGGCAATGTGTATTGCTCCCCCACAACCCCCACTCTAATTCCTGAAGCCTATTTTGAAAATGGTTCTTACAGCTCTGGGAAAGAAAATAACACACACTTCTTGCAAATATTTTATTAGTTTCAAAAGGCACACTACCCGTGTATATGGCAGTTAATCAAATAAACCAGGCAAGAGCAAAATCCATTTGCTCCCAGCATGCACACACAAATAAATGCATTTCCTAGTGACTACAGAGTGCTTTAGGATGCAAGTTCTGGACCATATAGCTCACGTTTGTATGGATTGGTCTTCTTGTGCAGGAAATTCTTCGTGGTTTCTTTCAAGAGCTTTCTGCTTCTCAGAAGAATGTTGTGATTGGGTTGGTTTGGGGTCAGTCATATCCTCAGGAACATCAGAAGATGCATCCTCTTGTCTTATGCCAAGGAAACTGTGTGTGCTTTGTTCCAGTTTGCACTCGGGTTGCACTGTGAGGCTTTTGTGGCTTTCCACAAAAAGCTTTGGATGTTTCTCAGTGACTACCAAGTCTGGCATAGTAATGCTAAAAAAAAATTAGTTTACTTCAGCTTATAAAGAGATACACTGTACACACTCAAGGAGAAGACTGCCAACAAGTGAGACAAGCAAGGTGCTTATGTGTAACTGTGGTTCTGCAAGTGAACTCCCACAGAAGGGATCCGTGCCTGTGCAGAACAGTGATGTAGAGCTTTCTAGAGCTGAGCAGCATTTTAGATGAAAGTCACACCACCATGCCTGCCCCAGTTGTGGCTTCCACCAGCCACTCAGTGGGGGGTTCCATGAGTTCACGGAGGACTATTTGAAGAACCATGCTTTTGGGTGAGCAACCTGTCCTGTGTGATCTCTGGGATTCACAGATATGGGTGACTGATAGCCAAGAAACTTATAAAAGGAAGATCACATCAGGACTGTAGGAAGTAAGGCCCTGCCAAAGGCTCTATCCACATGAGATCTGATATCTAAGAGGCAATGTTTAGTGAAGATTGAGCGCACATTATAGTACTGCAAAGGGAATGTTGGCAATGAAGGAGGCAGTTATTTCTGGCACACTTCTCAGGGCCAGGGTAGCACTGACTCTTCAGAGAAGTGCGGATGTAGGGATGGCAGGAGAAGATGAGGTTATCTCAAGACCATAACCCTCAGCTGTTCAGCCCTTGGGAACAGACAGGGTTTGGAAGTTCAGGGAGGGGGCATGGGAAATGAGCAGGAGCAGCCTGATTGGGTCTCACTGGGAGAGAAAGGCTTCCCAAGTAGAGGGCCTGTGTTGCTCTAGGAGGGTAGTCCTTCTCTAGAGAGGGACATCCAGAGGGGTGGAGTCTAGCAATAATGAACAGGAAGGTTCTTAGAAATAGTTTCTTGTCTGGGTTCAATGAATCACACTGTTCATGCACAAAAACTCATCTTCTGGTGGCTACAGTTTACTAGCTGTATATTGAAAATGAAGAGCTCTTAAGTAAAAAGACTGTCTGTTGTTTGAAAGGAATTAAGGTGGAAACCCAGCTCCCAACATTAGAGAAGTGGAATGTGCTGCAAAAAACCCCCAAGATTATGCCATAGCTCTGGCTGAGTGACCATAGACATGTAAGGGAACTGGAAGGTATGCGAGCTAGTATCCAAGGAATATCAAGGTATCCAAGGTATCCAATATCATTGACGCAGCCCACTGTGATGTGCTGTGGAGGTACAAGTAGTTCTTTCCCAGGGCTTCAGTGGCACAAGGGGAGGTTTGGAATGAAGCTGCACATAACAGAACAAAAGGGCCCTCTAGGCAGCTTATGAGTGAAGCTTGACCTCCAACTGGAAGTTCACAGAAAGAACTTTGGTAACCCACACTCCTGAATCAAATGAAATTGTGGCACCTCCTTAGGAAGAAAGCTGCGATCTGGTCACAAAACCACTTTATCTCTGAAGAATGCTGATGCTTGCAGTGAAGAACCCAGAGCTCACCTTCCCTGTCTGCCAAAGCAATGGCTGTGCGGAAAGCTACCTTCAAAGTAAAATGTCTTAGGTTCAAAGAATCAAAAGCCATTGGTTCAAAGGCTTTTGTTGTGTCAACACAACTGACAGGCTCCATGCTTGAATAGGTGGAGTGATTGGTAGAAAGAGACTGAATGATCCTTTGAGGGAAAGGTTTAATATCTGGGAATGAGTAGAGGGTTTAAGCCCTCAACTTTCTTATGCTTAGCCAAAATGGCTGCTCAGGTATGGTCTGAGAGTGAAAAATCCTGAGAAAAGGTACTCAAGTCCTTGAGAAAGGTCACAGGATTTGGGACTCTGTCCTATTGGCACAATAAAACCCCAGAACATCCACTTAGCTGCATAAATAGCCCACGTAGAGGCTTTATGGGAGATAGTCATCACCTCTACTATCTCTTTGGAGAACTGGTGAGGTTGACCACCCTCCAGGCTGTGAGACCAAAGATTTGAGAACCAGATGTATGATTTTTATCCTTATTAATGATGAGAAGATCTGATCTTCAAAGAAGACAGAGAAAGTGCAGTTGTAGAGAAGTCACAAATATACCAGAAACTGTTTAATTTGCAAATCAGTGGGATGGGGAGCTTTTGAACAGCATCTGAGGGATCCAAGACCAGCTGACCCTCTTGAACATAAGATCCAAGACCAAAGGAGCCTTTATCTTTACAGCCAAAGTGAATTTACTTTGACATAATCCAAAGGAGAAAGAGGCTCCGATTCCACACAGCGGCATCTAGAGAAGACTGGAAGCCTCTGAAGAGGAGATGGATGAGGATGAGCAGTAATCATCCTGTTCTGAGGAACAATATTTGGAATGTAGCTTAACTGCTAACTTTGGTTGGCAACAGACAACATCTGGCTGATCAATGATACTCTTTTGGTTGCACTGTGGATGTGCCTAAATTCCTATGGTAGTCTGCAGATTTTTCAGGAGGACCATGTCTTGGAGGAAGTTAGCCAAAAGAGGTGGAAACAATACCAATGGCAGGTTGGTTGAGTTAGGCAGTGTGGCCATTTCAGACCACTAAATGTTGAGCAGTTGGACACAGCATAGGTGAGGGTATGTATTGGGGGGAACAAATCTGACTGCTTGCTAGAGTAAGGAGAGTGAGATTGTCAATGGCCATCATGAACATGACTGATACCATCATGGGGGTGATCAGTTGCTAAAATATCAGGGTGGAGACCACATGCACTGGATAGCATGACCCCAAAGGGGATGATACTTCTCCAAAATGGGTGTTGGGCCCAAAGATAAAATGGTTGTAGAATTGTTGGTACCAGGGCTGACTTCTTAAGTGTAGGTTACAATGTCAGAATGGCCACTGGTTAGAGTCAGTTCCTACTACAGCAGGTACAGTTTTTGACCTTGGAGGCCAGGCACACCCAAAATGCCACAAAGAAAAGGAAGGAAAACTGAAGAAGATAATAAGAAACAGGAAAGGGGGGAGGGGAAAAAACTCTTAACAGCAATTGCAGAAGGGGAAAGCTACAATTTCTACAAAGGAAGAAAGGAAGGAAGGAAGGACCATGAGAAATGAAGAATGTTCAAAACACTGCTGGCTTCAGGTAGAAGTCACACCCAGATCATGCACCTGGGGTGTGGGCAGGACTCCTGCCTAAAACTCTGCTCAGCTCTAAAATGTTCTGCACAAACATCTAACTCATATGCGTGAGTCACAGAGACCTCCAAGAATGTATCAAAAAGCATGCACAATCATGGTGAACACAAGTAGCATTTCCAAGTTTTTGTGGTTCTGTACAACCACCACAACCAGGTGTCTCATTTCATGAAGGCCAGTGGGTTTTGTTTTGTTTTTTTGCAATATGCTACCTAAATCCACCAGACAGCAGAGTAACTTTATTTAAGCTAATATGACTTTCTAGAAAGATACCATTAACAGCACAGTTAGCGGCATCACTAGGGGATTGGGGGTTCAAGACACAAGGTTGCACCTGCATGCACACCTTTCCTTCCAACAGTGCACTGCTGCCTCCTTTGCAGCAAGGTGAGAAACAAAACCAAGACAAAGTATGATTTCGGGTGGAGCGGGAAAATTTTCCATAATGTACTCATTTGCTTTGAGATTTAGCACACTTGCCAAAACAGGTGGTTATCACAGTTCGCTACAGAGTGCACAACCAAAAGCAACATTATTTCCCTCCTCCCCATTCTATACAACACACCATCCTTTCCAAAACTGACGTTGTCCATATGGTTTCAGCTACAATTTGCATAACTCCAGATCACTGAGTGTGCTGGCTGGAGCCAATACAATTCTGAGTGCAAAACATATAAAGGGTACTAGGCTTAAGAAAGCAGTGCTATGCATTTTGGTTTCATTTTTGTCATGGAAGAGACCCTCTGAAATTCATCTAAATGTTCTCTCCCCTAACCCAACAAATGCAACTGTGATCAGAAGGCTTTGTTCTTCTCCTTCTTCCCATCCCTGAGAGCCAGAGTGCTCTAATGAATTAGATTAGTTCCAAGGAAACGTGAGTTCAAACCGCTCAGATATAAACCCCCCTGCAGGACCATAGGATGGATACTCATTCCCTCTCAGCCTTCCTCACTTGGTAGGTTTGTTGCAAGGACAAAATGGAAACAGTATGCACTGCTCTGGGCTTATTTGTGAATGGGCAGGATTAATAGTTTTATAAGCTGTTCAGCACATGTCTTTCAGAGTTTGCATAAATACTCCTGAGTTCACTCACAAATCATTCCCCTCATTTCCTGCCCTCCATTATCTGGAAGACATAACTATTCAAATCCACTTTGTATACCTCATAAAACATTTCTGGAATAATAGAGCTCTTTGTAAACAGTATTTCCACTTATCCAAATATTTTGGTTGTCCCAGCAGCACACAGATACCATCATATCACCATTCCGGACCAAAACTGTTTGTTAAAATATAGTATTTTCTTCCTTGTTATTTAGATGGTAGATGGGTGCCCAATTCAGATCAGAACAGTGACTTCCCTAGTCAAATGGATTCATACCTATAATAGGTAACTCTAGATGCTTCAAAAAGTGGAAACTTCTTTAAAAGGCTTGGGGCGGGAGGAGCTCCCTTGCTTTGAAAAGAAAATTGTTCTTGGCCTCAAAACATAGCTTTCACTGTATGTTCCCCATCTGGGATTTAGAATTATAAAGGCACAAACTCACTGGACATCGCAGCCTTGCAAGCTCACACAAGTTGCCAACACATGAAATAAAATGCATTAACCAACTTGCAGGGAGGGAGGGACATGTGGCCCTCCAGATATTATTGGATTGCAGCTCTCATTACTAGCTACCCTGGGTAGGGTCTATGGAGGTTGTATTCCACAGACCCTCTAGTCTGAGAGAATGCCTAAAAACTGGAGAACTCCTTGCAGAATATCTAAAAACTGAAGCAAATGGGCTAAAGGAAGCAAAAAAGCAGGTTGCTTACCTGTAACTAATGTTCTTCGAGTGGCCATCTGTGCAGTCACACATATGGGTGCTGTGCCTGCGCAGTACCTTTGGCCGGAAGATTACAAGCTAATGGTTTATTTTGGCG